TCTTAATGAATAAATGATGAATGAAACTAACTATTTCCAATAAATTGATACAATTATTATTATTATTGTTGTTGTTATTATTATTATTATTATTATTATTATCCTAAGTTTATGACTTTGATGATGGCAATATAAGAATTATATAATTAAGTTACTAATAAAAAAAGTAACAATAATCATAATAATAAAAATAATAATAATGATAATAATGAGAACATTCTTTTATTTACCGAAAAACAAAATCCAAATGGAATCCATCAAAAATTATTAATTATATATTAGAGTGTAAATAAATAAAATATAAAATATAATGTACGATCCTCTCATGCTCTTTGATCAACAAGTGCTTGAGAGTAAAAAGATATATTTAAAATCGGTTAAGTAGTGTTTCTGTCACAATATAGGCTATATGACGAGCTAATTACCGCGTTAATCAATTTTTCATTAAAAGATTTCGGCCATAAAATTTTAAACAAAGTTAGATTAAAATTGTTATAAAAACCCACAGGTGATATTTCAAATGAGTTAATAATTAGCGAACAGTTATTGTAGACTGAATTTATGTTCAATTTCAAGTTTTTATATTTCTGGCGTCTGTATTCACGTGAGGAAGCTAGGTTGGTTTCGTGGCAAATTGTGAGCTCTATAATAACAATAATAATAATAATAATAATAATAATAGGGGTTTTGTGGAGGTCGATGGTCGCCAATGCCCTGAAAGGGTAAGGCACGAGAAAGAAGAAGAATATGCTGAATTATTTTTCAAGTTTTAAGAACGCTCATCAACTTTCACAGAAAAAAATTCGACAAATTACAGTTAGAATGACTAACTATTTACATATTTACAAGTTTAATAAAACCTATAATAAATATACATACACCTACACCTACACACACACACACACACACACACACACACACACACACACACACACACACACACACACGTAGCTATATAAAAAACCATTATCGATTAATTTTTTTTTCATTGCATTTCAAAACACAATGACGGCGTACCTTTCTAGTATGCTGTTGATACAGGCAGTTACTTACATACAAACACGTACTTGTATACATACATACATACATTTATGAAACATTCCTACAGACAAATGTAGAAACAAAAAAAAGCATGTACAAACACACATACATACATTCATAAAACGTAAAACTATACACAGACATAAACACAAATACGTACACACATACACTCATACGCCAACTTCCAATTTTTTAAACACACACTCACACACAGAAAAACACGGTACACACCTATTGTTGTAGTCTGCGGCGCACCATCCATCCATCAAACCAGCCATTCATTCATTCGTTCGTTCATCTAATAATCCATGCATCCATCGCATTCTTCATACAGGTAACGTGGCTCGCTAACCTTTGTATACCGGCATTTGAATGTATATACCAACATACATATTAATTATATAATTTCAAACAGACATTAATCTATCAGGAAAGTTTTGTGAAATTATTTTGTTAAGGCGGTTTCGCATTGATGAATTACTAACAATTTTTCGTGTTCAACATGATTCTCAATGCTTATTTTTGTTTGCTTTGGGATCATATAAAATTCTTAATTCGTTACATACATTTACCTATACACAAATATCTCAACCACTAACCTTGAAAACTAACCTATCTACTGTCTAACCGACCAGTCAAATAACTAAACAATCAATCAAACAACCAGCATTTAATCAACCACTCAACTAAACAACCGATCTAATAAATGAATAATCAATCAAACAGTAAATAAATCGTTAAACTCTTTTATTCAATTCAAAATCAGTCACCATCATTAAAAACACGACAACAACGTCAACAACAACATCAACAACAACATCATCCACAACAACAACAACGTCAACAACAACAATAACAACAGGCAGGACGTATTATAAACGCGACTAAACAAAGGAACATAACGACAAGACACATTCCTGTTTCCTCCTGATGATGATGATGACAATGACGAAGATGATGATGATGATAATGACGACGATGATGTTGCTAATGATGGTGATGATGAAAATGATGACGATGATGATGATGAGGATGATGATGGTAATGATCTTGTCGTAAATAACGCTGGCAATGGTAATGATGGTTCAGACGATGATGACTATGATGATGATGAGGGTGATGATGGTGATGATAAGAAATTCATGCGGGGTGCCACCTTTTTAATTGATTCGTTTATTCATTCATTCAAAAATTTTTCTTTCATTCATTCATTAATCTGGTCATTAACTCATTCAGTCGCTCTTTTTGATTTTATTTGTTTACGTTTAAATAAGTGTGTATTTGTGCGTGCGTGTGTGTGTTTGTTTGTACTTAAGTGTACGTGTGTGTGTAAGTTAAAGTTGACATAGGCAATAAATAACACTACAAAATGATAAATTACCAAAAATCTTAAATGTTTCTCAAGATTTTCCGGTTTTCATTTGTAAACCAATCAATCAGACGAACAAACAAACAAGAAAAGAAGCAAGTAAACAAACGAATAAACGAACAAACGAACGAACAAACACTAAACGACGAAGAGCAAAAAACCGGATGGAATATAAATTTAATTGAACAAACGAATGAATGAAGATGGATGGATGGAGTTATGTGGTGAACTAATGGGGACAGCTGACATTCCTATATTTTGAATAATGTATGGTTGAGAGATGAATGAATGCATGAATGAATGAACAAAGAAATGAATGAGAGAAGGAATGAGAGAAAGATTTCATAATGAAATAAAAGAGTAAATTAATGATTAATTGAATGGACGGAAACAGCAAAAGCAAAAATTATTTTGTGACTATCAAATCAATGATTAATAAATAAAACAGTTAAAATTTTTAAAATAAATCAAATAGCAATAAAACAAATAGCACTATGATTACATATATCTAAATATGCTTACCAACGTTATAGTGTTCGCACGAACGAACAAACGAACAACAATATGAACGAAGTGTTTGAATGTTCGTAAGGTGAACACCGAATAAAGTTCATTGATCAAAACAAAGACAGCCACTTCCTTTCCATTATTTCATTCCTTCATTTCACCATTCTTTCTTTCCATTATTCCATCGCCCCACTGTCGCCTATCAAATTATTTCCTCCCAAAAATTAAATATATCTCAGTTGCACTTGACATATCTCAACGAGCTAAAACCGTTCAACAAATTTAAACAGACCAAAGTTACAGTTAAAACTTGTTGGCAGGTCTGCTGGACGTTGTTTGCTTGTTCAAGTTGTTTTTGCGAATATGCAAGCAATGCTAGCTAAATAATGACAAGTTTCAATGATTGCAACTAAATTATTATGAATAACAATTACATAAATATGTAGGCAGATGACGATTACAAACAAACAATAAATTTAAATAAAGTGTAGTGGGTAAGACTACATAATTGGTAACATTATTAAACGATTTTTTGATGATGCAACGACAAACTTGTCAGTCAGAATGAATTATCATTACGAAACCAGAGTACCAATCAACTAGCTATCGCTATTGTTAGCTGATTAAACGATTTATACCGGTTTCAACCGTGACCCGGTGTTCGTAATCGTAATTATCCGACATTGCAATACATCAAACTCTTAGCGAGTTTAGATGTGTCGACTATTCGAATGTATGTGTATTCATTTTCATTGTAACAATTCAGTGAGTGTGTGCGTGTATGTATGTATGTATGTATGTGTGTGTGTGTGTGTGTGTGTGTGGTGTGTGTGTGTGTGTGGTGTGTGTGTGTGTGTGGTGTGTGTGTGTGTGTGGTGTGTGTGTGTGTGTGTGTTTGGTGTGCGCGGTCGGTGCGGGGAAGAGAGAGTGCAAGACTTTGGTGTAATGTTTAGTAATAAATTTCAGGATAATTTTTTTCTAATGTGTAATAATTTGCTTAGTAAGTGTAGGTTATAAATTTTTATGATAAAAGATAAAAAAATAAATTGAAAAAAATTTTAAACAAACGTATATATTTATAATTTATAAAAAAATAAATATATCATATAAATTTTAAATTAAATTAATTAAAATTCTAAATAATTGGTTAAAACCAGTTAAAACATGGTTAAATATTAAAAACAACCATATGAACCTGCACATTCTAAATTGCTATTTTCTTTCCATAAAATTTTCCCATCACGAACAAAACTCAAAGTAAACTCAAAGTAAATAAACAACGTGTATGTATGCTAGTATGCTAGTATCTGAATAAATGAATTTTAAATCAATCAAATAATAAAAATAAATCAATCAAATAAAATAAATCGTATCCCACAGGTGGCGTATGATTTATTTTATAATAAATTTTTTGAAATATTTTGTTTCATCTATTTTATTTTAGATGATAAAATATAAATAAAGATAAGAATAAGATGTTACAGCGTTTTTGAGGCTTCTTCTTCCTCTTCTACCCTACCTTTGAATTTGTTTGATCTTCTTGACTTGACTTGACTTTTTAACTTTTAATTCAAAGAAAGACACAGATATTTGGTTTACATTCAGTAAGCAAAACTTCTTGGCAAATATTTATTTTATTTTTTTAATCCTAATGCGAATCTATCCTCTATTCTAATTAATTTTATTGAAAATTTTAAAATTAAAATTAGTTTGAATTATAACTATTTTATTAGCAATAATACTATAATATAGCATGTATTCAATTATTGAATTATTTCAATTCAAATTGGTTGTGTTTTGTGTTTATTGGCTTATTGTCACATCATTAAAAATGTATTTTGTATGTTGTTGGCATTAGTTTTTTAAACTTTTGATTATCATGTGTTGCATCTTGTTAAATTGTCACATAGTAGTGCCCAAATAACTTGCCATTTTTATGCTATTATATTATGAATTAATTCAATTATTAATTTAATTATAATATTCTAATTAATTTAAAATTTCATCAATTACATTTACTATCATATTCAATTGATTTAAAAAATTTCAAAAATCAACATTGCAGGATGACATTTCAAGCCCAATGTCCACAATGAAGAACAACTATGTGATCCTAATGAATAATGATGATATTTCTGACTCAGAACTCGAATCAAATGTTCAGTATATCGAATCTTCATTTTCTGACCAAGCTCTTTTACACAGAAGAATCAACCCCACATCGAAAGATTACTACAAATTCAAACACAGAAAGTTAAAAAATTCTCGAATAGTTAAATTTTTCCACAGAGCCAAGACAAAAGCAAAGCAAAATCCAAGACCTCAAAAAATTTCAGAGAGTCTTGCAATAGATTTGGGCCTTTCAATAAAAAGTATAGAGCATGAGGAGACAGTTAAATGTATGGTTTCCAGCATTTTATTTATCATGGTTATCATTGTCCTTATTTTTGTAGCTATTCTCAAAAATCCTGAAATGTAATATTTCATTTTTATTTCCAGTGTCCTTCAATGCATTGAATGTAATGTTTTCATCATGTTAGTAAATTACTGTTTCAATGTAGGGAGAATATTCAAATGTAAAAATTTTCCATTCATATAAATACAACATCCACTGATAATATTTTTTCAAACTTAAATCACGACTTTAGGGCATTTATTTTATAAAAGGTTTTTTTGCCAGTAAATTTGTCAATATTTTTATTATCATTTGATATAGATTATTTTATGTCTATTTTTAATTAATAAACCACCACAAAACAATTTTGGTTTTTGCATTTGCATTTTTTCATAATTTTATTTTATATAGTTATATAGTTAATGTCTCAATTTGAGCCAATTTTGAAAAAGTCCGGTTCAACTACGTTTACGATTTTAATGATGTTAACGTGATGTTGTTGGCAAAAGTTTTTAGTGAATCATTTCCATCCGACTTTTGTCACGTCATTCTTTCATGAGCATCTTGTAAATGCCGCCAATCTTGTTCTTCACTGAGTTACATGCGCCTAAAAACCTCACAACGCCGTGCTTAGCTCCGGAATTATTTAGATTGTCGCATGCGTTGGCGTCGTCCTCTTCTACTACACCTTCGACATCCACGGATAATTCACGACCTGTTTCTCCTCTTTCTTCAGTTTCTTTGACGAACAGGGCTATGATTTTATCGATAATATTGTTTTTGAGAGATTTTGCATTGTTGAGAGAAAAATTTCCGCAGCTGTCGCTATCATATTCGTTGTCCTCAAGCCCCCTTAAATATGATAGCTTTTCAATTAATTCACACGTGCCACAATAGTCCTTCTTGCTTTCAGTTTTAAAAAAATGTTTTCCTAGTTTATGCTTATTTTTTGAATTCAAAATTTCTTCAATGTTTTTACAATCGTCTTTCGATTTTCGTTTTTTCTTTGAAATATCTTTATATAGCTGGCCTAAATCCGAACAAATGTTAGTTTTTAAAATACTTTTACCTGTTTTGGATTTACTTTTCTTGCTTGCATTGCCGTTAATTTCATCGTCTACGAGACTATCAAACAAAATTGAAGACATTTTGTTTTTCTGAAAATTATTCCCGTTTTCTGCACAAACATCTTTTTCAAGTGCTTTGATGAAGCCAACGTTCGAAGGTTTGTTGAGAATTTCAGCGTACTCATCTAAAGACTCTTGTTTTTTGCCATACTTTTCTTTCTTATCCATTAATTTTATAATTTCTCTCAGCTCATCAAACGCAGTGGAAACAATGTTGCGTCTTCTACTGATTATTTCTTCCCCATCACTTGAGTCCAACAGATTCACTCCCGAATTATATTTTTTGGAAATTTCGTTAGCGCCACAATTTTTGAAACTTGCGCACGTGTCATTGCCAAAAAATATTTTGAAATCACAATGGCAGCTGGAATTGTTTTTTATTTTTTTTTCATTCGATTTTTTTTTCTTAGAAACGTGTTTGGATGGTAGATCACAATCACTATCGATATTATTCAACGATCTGCTTACTTTTTTATTAAAAATATTTCTGTCACCTTTTTTGCGGCCACTTCTGTCCTGAAAAATTGAGCATGTATTTTTGAATAAAACATTACATTTTGAAGATTTGTCTCTATTTTTTATTGTCTTTTTGCTGAAAATTTTTGATTTCTTTGCCAAACTGCAAACATCAGTTGTGTTATCATCTAGTTCTAAATCTAAAGAAAAGTTTTCGTAATTGGATTTATTTTCGTTAGCACTGGCACAGTTATCGTACTTTGACGAATCAAAGCTTATGGATTTATACAAGCTATCTTGAGAAACACGCCAGCAACTATAATTTGAAGAGCCGTTTATGTTAGAGCACTGAGAATTTTTATTTAAGTTTTTTTTTCCTAACGCATATGTTGGAATAAACTCAATAGAGGAGGTCAATGTTGCATTGTTTGAACACGTATTTGAACACGAGTGCTTGCTATAAGATTTCTTTTTGCGTTTTGAAGACAGATTTAAACACGAGTCGTTATCCTCTTTTTTCTTCTTGTTCTTACATAGGTTTTGACAAGAGTCGATTTCGGTCACATTTTTTGCACATAAATTTGAACACGAATCCACTTGATCAATTTTATTTTTAGAAAATAAATTAGAGCAAGAGTTTTTTCTTTTATTCTTACTTTTGTCAACAGAATGAAAATTAAAATCATTGTTCTTTTTTTTAGAAGATGAAAATAATTCCGAACATTTGTCAACTTTTCCATTCTTTTTACTTTTTGACAAAAATATGGAACAAGAGTCCTTCTTACCACATACAGCACAAACATCTCTCTTAGATTTTCTATCAGAAAACATGTCAAAACCTGAAGTGTGATCTTTGGATTTAGACTTGGAGATTAGGCTTGAACACAAATCATGTTTGCCTTTACTGTTTGCTTTACTAGTTTTTTTAGAAAAGAATTTTGAGCAAGAGTCTGAACTACTCGACGAACAAACCGCACAAACACCGGAGGACTTTTGTTTATTTTTTTGCTTGCCTTTATTTGAAATTTTACAGCTAAAATTCTCTAACTTAAAGGTTTTCTTTTTACAATTTAATTTCGAATACGAATCATCATATTCACTGGCATCGCATGAATTATCAGACATTTTAGAAGAAGTTTTCTTTTTAGCACCAAGTCCTTCGCAAGAATCATCGGAGTCTTCGCAAGCAGTAGAAGCTTTTTTTCGTTTTTTACAAAGAGTTTTGCTCATTATTCTACAAGAATCGTTTGAGTCAATACTTTTTTTCTCGCAAAGTCTCGAGCAGGAATCTATTTCTTCAATTTCAGTTTCTTTCCTTTTATCGGATTTTTCGCAGACTGGAGTATTTAATTCCTGTTTATTCAGAAAATCAAAACAATCATCTGTGTCCGAATCCGATTTCATACATTTTTTTGTAAGATCTCTCCAAAAGTTTTCACATTCTACATAAGATTTTCTAGATTTGTTTTTTTTGTTTGACTTTTTGCTTTTAAACATTTTACAAAAGCTACTAGTGGATAACAATTTTGTATCCTGTTTTTCACTACCAGATTTTTTTGATTTTGAAAACAAATGTGTGCATGAATCTACTGAATCTTTTCTTTTGAGGCTGTCATCTAAATCATCTAACGACATTTTTGATTTTGTTTTCCGCATTGAGAACGATTTTTTTAGTTGACAAATTTGGGTGCAAGAATCAATAGATTCGGCTTTTTCTTTCTTGGCTTTCGTCTCTTTCGTATCTGGGAAGAGCATTTCGCAGTTCAATTTGTATTTATTATCTTCATCACAGTTTTGTTTGAAGAGGAATGAGTAGTTGCTCTCACTGCTGATCGACATGCAGCAGTTAAAGTCGGTGTTGTACTTAATTTTAGTATTCTCATCGCAAATCAGTTGTAAATTTTTCACTGGTCTTCTTATCATGCAGTTACAAAGGGCACACGTATCAAGTAAGTTATCATCGTCATTATCTTGTGCTTCACACAACGATGACAAATCAAAACTTCGAATCTAATTAATTTTAATTTGTTTTCACAATTATTTGTAAAATCTTATTTGCATTTGGCAACCGGCAACTTACCTCACATACTTTCCCTTTTTGCTCCTTTTCCCCCTTCTGCTCCGGTTTTTCCTTCACTTTTTTCTCCTGTCGCATGCACGCCGCCAGCTGAAAAATTTTATATTAAAAAAAAATAATAATTTGACTGCATTTTGCAATATGATTATGCAACCAACATCTTTGTTTCCTTGTCTCATTAGATCCTCATCGCACAAAACTTCATTAGTTGTTGTCAAGTACTTGAAAACTAGCTTGAAACAGGTTTATGACATTTTTAACATTAATGTTATGTTTGTAATTTATAAATGTATAAAATTAAATAACTTTATTTTTATTTATTTATCAAAATATACGACAAGCCTTGTCGTCAAAGGTCGATAGCACAGTTTTGGTTTTAGCAGGACAGGCCCATTGACCTTGCTCTTTGAATATCAAATCGTTTGGTGGAGATTCTTTTTTGGTCCTTGCTTGGCTGGCCCAAACTGTTACGAAACTTTTAGGTTTCAGCGACATTTTTGGGAATTTGTAAACAGCATACGGAGCCTTATTATGAGCTTGTACCAATATTGCGCCGTCCAAGTTAGCATCCTTAAACGTCAGTTAAATTAAATTACTTAATGTTTTAATGAAGCTTAGTTGAATAGAAATTTTTTATTAACTACCTCTTCTTCTTGTATATTTTGTAGTATTATAAAATCTCTGTCAACTTCTATTATCGCCATCCCGTTGATATGACTAACAAATTTAATTTAAAAAACCAAATGTTTAGAGCTTACACAAATATTATCACTGGTTTAATTAAATGTTTTTAAACAAATAACGTTACCTGATAATTTCCGATTCAAATTTTTCATCTTTCACTGGCTCCTTTAATTTTTTATTAACCAAACACTCTGAATATTCCTTACAAGTTTGTTCGGCAGGTTTTGAAGTTGGCTGTTCTGCAGGAGGTTGTGAATCTGGAGTGGATTGCTTTTGTGCTTGTGGCGGTGGTGCAGATTGCTTCTGGGGTGCAGAGGAAGCCACAGATTTCTTTAGCGGCTCTGAAAGTGCCACAGACTCTTTTGGTTGCTGTAAGGGTGCCACAGATTCCTTTGGTGGCTCTGAGGATGCCACAGACTCTTTTGGTGGCTCTGAGGGTGCCACAGACTCTTTTGGCGGCTCTGAAGGTGCCACAGACTCTTTTGGTGGCTCTGAGGGTGCCACAGACTCTTTTGGTGGCTCTGAAGGTGCCACAAACTTTTTTGGTGGCTCTGAGGGTGCCACAGACTCTTTTGGTGGCTCTGAGGGTGCCACAGACTCTTTTGGTTGCTGTGAGGGTGCCACAGATTCTTTTGGTTGCTGTGAGGGTGCCACAGACTCTTTTGGTGGCTCTGAAGGTGCCAAAGATTTCTTTGGTGGCTCTGATGGTGGGGACTCTTCTTGTAATGTTAATGAAGACTCTTTTTTTAGTTGTAAAGACTCTTTTGGCGGTTCCGAAGTTTCTTGAGACGATTGTTTTGGCAATGGTTGCACAAAAGACGGAGATTCGTAAGTTGGCGGAGACAACGACTGTTGTTTTGGCTTTTGTTCAACTTGTGGGCCTTCTGTGTCTTCCTGGCCGAATGATTTTATTGAAGCTGTTTTGGGGCTAGTGTTTGCACTCTTTTTTTCATTTTCATAATTTGTGCTTTTTTGATTGTTGCCTTCGGCGATGCTTGATTTGCTTGAAAGCGTGCCGGCATTTTGTGGTTTGACTAACGGGGACTGTGACACAACTGATTGTTTTTGGCTGTAAGGCGCTTCTGCTGCAGATTCTTTCACCATCTCTTGTCCAATTTGTGATTCATTTGTTGACGGTTGTTTTTTTATGATGTCACCAGTTTGTAGATCTTCATTTTTCATTTTTTCCGTTAATGAGTCGTCATAAATTTGATTTACCTCACTAGGTGTCAGTCCGTAAGACTGTTTTCCTAATTCTAGATGTTGTTCTTCTATCTCTTGTCCAACGTACTGTTCAGTAATCTGTTGCCCAGCTTCTTGACCAGCATACTGTTCAACGTTTGGGTGTTCAGATTCTTCGCCGATTTGTTGCCCAGATTCTGCTACGTCATATTGTGGCTCACCGTACATTTGTTCATTTTGCAATTGTTGGTTATCATAAATTTGATCAGCGTTCTCTGTACTTAAAACCAGCTGGTCAATGTTTTGGTCGGCAGTTTGCTGATCAGCAAGCTGTTGTTCAGTGAATTGTTGCTGTTCAGCTAGTTGATTAGAGTATTGTTGTTCTGTAATTTGCTGTGTGTTTTGGTCGGTTAACGTCGGTCCAGCATACTGTTGGTCAACAGGTTGCTGGTCTGTATATTGTTGGTCAGCATACTGTTGGTCTCCGGATGGCTGATTTTCTGCATATTGCAGACCATCATATTGCTGGTCAGCATTTTGCTGGTCAGCATACTCTTCCACAAATGGTTGCTCTTCGGTGTATTGTTGGTCAACATTCTGTTGATCAGCGTATTGCTGGTCAGTGTATTGTTGATCAAGTGGATGCTCTTCCGCATATTGTTGGTCTGCATACTGTTGATCTGCATATTGTTGGTCTGCATATTGTTGGTCTGCATATTGCTTGTCAGTTAGTTGCTCTCCTGCATATTGCTGGCCATCGTATTGTTGATCATCATATTGTTGTTCAGCGTACTGCTGGTCAGCGTACTGATCAACTTGTTGCTCTTCTGTGTACTGTTGACCATCGTATTGTTGATCAGGTGGTTGCTCTTCTGCTGCGTATTGTTGACCGTCATATTGTTGGCCTTCATATTGTTGTCCGTCATATTGTTGTCCGTCATATTGTTGTCCGTCATATTGTTGGCCGTCATATTGCTGGCCTTCATATTGCTGGCCGTCATATTGCTGATCAGCATATTGTGGATCAGTATATTGCTGTTCGTCATATTGTTGATCAGTATATTGCTGGTCAGCATATTGTGGATAGACATATTGTCCGTACTGATCGTGCGCATTCTGCTCTTCTTGTGTTTGATTATTATTTCGACCTGGCATTGATGTAGAGTTAGTTAATCTCAAGCGGGGATCGTTCAAATTGAAACCTGTCTCGTACATTTTTGGGTTATTCAGATTTGTAGGTGTTGCTATTCTTCTCTGTTTCAGTGCGGGTTTTATTTGAGACATCCGTATTTTATTGGAAACGCTATTGTTTTGCTCTAATTTAGTAACCGCTTTCTTGAACCTTATGGTTTTTTCTTTATTTTCTTTCACTTTAGATTCATTTGAAGGTTTTTTAGATATCGACCTCTTTCTGTTTAAGGTGCTCGATTGTTTTCTGTTTTTCAATTTTGTAACGGTTTATTTTTTAATTAATGAAACTACCAATTAAATTTTAGTTTATTAACTTACGACGGTGAGTTTCTTGATGAACGTTTCTTTGATTCCACTCTGGAATCTTGATTTTTTTCTGTAAAAAATTAATCTGTTGTAGTTACAATAGTAATATTCAAAATTATACTGCCGTAACTAAAATGCAAAATGAATCAAACGTACGATTATCTTTGTTGATCTTGCTTTTTTGGAATTTTATGCTCGGCAATCGTTGGATTTCGCTGTGGAGTAAATTTATTTTTTAATTGATTAATTAAATTTTTTCATTATAATTTTGAGTAAAATGATTTAATCTTTTTATCTAGTTTGAAAGGTATTTTTTATTTCTTAATTTGTGCATTAACAAGCTTATTTTCTGAAATTAAAACAAAATATATATTCCTTTTTAAAAAAGCATGTCGGGAATAAATTTAAGTTGACGAGGTTTTTTAACCTTCCTTTCCTCTCTTTCTGTTTAATTTGTGGAGACAGCTTCAAACCAGCTTTACGTTCCGCAGATAAACTTTGTCGGAATTGACTTTTTGTTGCATTTTTTTGTGAACTGAGTTTTCGATGGACGGACGGCTTGAGATCTTGAATAGTGACGGTGGACGATTTCACGAAGGTTGATTTCGACGCAATTATGGGATCTAGACTAACGAATGACTTCAAAAACGATGTTTCGCCTGTTATAGTTGGAGAAATTTTATCATTTGACGAGATTAGTGCAGATTTTGATACGGCAGTTCCATTAATAGTTTTGATCGCGGTTTTATTCGAAGACGATTCTTTCAAGTCACCAGCGCTAACAACGTCTGTTATTGGATTCGTGCAATTTGCAACATTTTGACATTTTTGCGATTTTTCAACGCTAACTTGATTGATCTGGAAACAAAAAATTGTTAACAAGTGAAAACTATTTAAGACTTGCGTCAAACAAACAATAATTGACAACTTTATCGGCAAGAATAGTAAGAGCGCTCTGTAGGTTTTCAACATCATCGAATAAACCTTTCGCTTCCATTAGAGGTTGTAACAATCAACTTTCTTCTTATTTAATTTCCCCTTACATCAACAATTATGTTCTTAGGTTACAGTTACAATTAAAGTCTTGTTGTTGATTGAAAAGGCTTTTTAAGCTGTAAATAATACTTGGCTTGTTAGTCAACAATTCACAATAAAAAATATTGAAGTATGTTTAAAATAGTTGTTCTTTGAAAGTTATAAAGCTAAAAAAGTTAAAGTTGAGAACGTCGCAGCTAAATTGCAACTGTCGTTTATGTTTACAATTTTTAATACTATATTATGATGTAAGCATAGACATCATTAAATAAAATTATGGATACACGAGAACAAAGTTTAATTTTTTTAAATAAACAGCTCAAAAATTTGTAGAAAGGCTTTTAAAAAGATGAAGAGTATTATTGTTCCAATCGACATTATTAAAAACCAAAAACCTATTTCAGATCATTTATTTCTATTTGAGTTAAATTTCGATTTTTTCAAACAAATAGCAGCGATTAAAATAAAAAAGAAAGACAATGTTTTCAACGTAATCACGATGCTTAAAAAATAGATTCCCATCATTTCCCCTGTGTATATAGCGCAGGAGCCAGTGCGGTCGAAGCAGTAGTCTCTATTCCAGAAGAGACAAGCTCTGTCGATGATCGCTCCAAATATCATGGGTGCTGGAATCATACCTCGTGGGAAATTATTTAGAAAGGTTTTATTGCAGTATCGATTGTTGCGATGTCTTTATATGAAATAAAGAATTCTACTTTTATAATTTAAAAAATAAATGGCAACATTTTTTAAAAAAATGTTCAAGTAAAAGACTTTAAAAATATACAGATATGGAAAGTAATTGATTATTATACATTATTATACCCTAACCCAACACAAAAGTGAAATGTACACATACCACCCCATACAAAAATAAAGATAGATATACAGACACTAAAACAGACAGACATATAGACACAAAGACAGACATGCAGACATGAAGACCAACAGGTATGCTGACAGACATACAGACAGACACGAAGAAAGACAAAGTGAAGTACTTACCGACTATCCTAACTATCATCCATTGCAGACCAAGCGCTAGGGACTTGTGTCTTTCTGCAACGCATCTGATTGGTCATTCATTTGTTTAAAAGATGATTCAATATTGTAAAATTATTAACTTGTTTGATATTTTTATAATAAATCACTTGAATAAAATTTTTTAAACTATTTCAAGTGTCATTTGCTCAGCAAAATACAACTCTTTTGCTAAACATAGATAATGATGTCATGAAACAATTTCGGACATTGTGAATAATTTTTAAAAATAGAAAAATTTTGTTATTACTAAATATTATGACAGCATTACAACTCAGCCAACTTGGTTATAAAAGTATTAAACTTTATCAACCTCAATACTTAGTAACTATTTTACAAAATCACCCAACAACTTTAACATTTTACAGTTAATTTTTGATTCCAACCATCGATTTTTTTTTTAATTTAATCATCAATTTTAAAATTCAATCCTAATTCTAACAAAAATTCACCTCAGGGTTGCCGTCAAGACAGGCGTCCAGCAGATGAAAGATACGAAGATGATGAGAGAATAGAAAATGATGAAGAAGGTGATGGAATTGCATTTGTTCTTGCACGTTCCATCGGATGCTGTGACATCATCGGTGAGTGTGTAGGGCTTTTTTGTTTTAATGTTGTTGTGTTCAAGTCGGTCTTCGACGCAAGTGCACTTTATGAAGAGCTGTTTATGAGTTTTTAGATGATAGGTAGGAAAATTTAAAACGTTGTCATTTGCTTATTTATGTACAGTTAGGTTTTTTGAGCATTAACTGGTAGAATTATTCAATAAATTGGTAACATGTTCTAGTTTAAAGCGTCTAAATAAAAAATCTTTGCAGTAACTAGAGCTTAATGTGATTTTTCATAACAGTGTCTGAAAATAAATGTGAAAAGTTTACCAACAAAATTAATAATTTTTCAAACAACTACCCTCCAAGTGCCATTTTTTTCTTTGATTTCCTTCATTGACTGGCAGCCAGCGAGACAGGGAGACACGTATGTTAGACCATCCAGACCACACACGGGACTAAACATGCTGCCAGAGCAGTTGCAGTGCTTGTTGCATCCAGAAAACAAGTTTCTGTCGTTGGTGCAAGATTGAATTTGTTTAAAAAATTGATTGGTTACTCTTAGTGAGATTATATTACATCCTGTCATTTTTTTATGATGAGATTTTTAAATGAACTAGAACGTTGTGGTTGAATTATTAATTAACATCTACACGCGTTCTAATGCTCTTAGTCCGTTTTAGTTATTCTTACTAGACGATAAAAAATTGCATTAAATTACTTCATAGCAATTACCCTTACCATCATCTAGCTACGATAAAACCCACTAGATCTCTCAAGGCATTCTTTAAACTTGTCACTAACATTTTTGAATTTGTGACTTCCTGGTCAAGGTAAGGATGACTGATTCCCACGTAGAGAATATCTCCGCACCGCACCAACATAGACAACGTTAGGAGCAGAGCGATGCCAAGAAACACTAAAGTAAATTTTAGAGAACCGATGGCGCTCAGATGAAACTTTTTGACGATGATGCCTCCTATAACAATTCCCAAACTTCCCGATGGTATTGTCGCTATGCCTGTGCCGTATAATTCAATTTCATATTTAAAGCTTTCAGACTAGTTTTGTTTGATTGAAACGAAAAATGGAAATTTTTACGAATGTAAGAATTCAACATGGTTATAAAATAACCTATCAGTTGTCCAGACCAGGAAGCAGATAAGTTAAACGCGGCCTCGACAAACTTTGGCGCAAACAGAACAAATCCGCCGACCAACGCACCTGCGCGGTTTCCATTAAAATTAAAAAAAATCAATTTATATAAATTCAAATTTGTTATTAAAGCGACGTAATTATATTAATTAGTTTTCGTGAGCGTACCTTCCATGCAACCGGAAAAAGTGATGAAATCGAACGCAGGATTTGAGAGAAGCGTCTTGAGGGCGTGGAAGATGTCGGCAGGTTCGTGCACCGCGTCGACGCTTTTTTTGTCCACCGACTCCAAACTGCTCCTCTTTCTCTTCTCATCATCAATCTCTCTTTTATCTTTTGAGTTACACATAATTCAACATGGATCATTAAGGATTATTTAAAATTTAAGTATTTTCCTCTGTATGAATTGAGTAAACCAGGAAATTTTAATAAATATGTATATAGTATATAAAGTTAATTTTACTCAATTTATTTCTTTCAACTCATTTCACATTGTTGTAAAGTACTTTCAGTTATAATATTAAAAAATATTTTTAAAATGGAATAATTTTCGGCATTCACGAAAATAAGAAATAACTCAATTCTTAACTTGAATTTTCAAAATAAATTTGATATTTCCAAACCGACTTGGCATTTCTCTTGGAAAGCCACATAAGAAAATTGACAGGATGATGAAGGCCGATCCTGTGACGAGGAAACCAATCCACCAGGCTCCTAACCATCGCGGGTCCTCCGGCGTTAAATCACCCTGGTTGCTAAATGTTTAAATTAGTTAAGTTATCATCTCAATAATTTAACAAATTTAATTAACCAGTAAATTCATTAATATGTAATTAATTTATTTATTTGTTAACAAACTAAATTTCACAAACAGGGTACTATTTTTTCGACCGATGTCGATATAAGTTTTGAGAAGCCTGCCTCCAATAATGTAGCCGAGTGCTGGCCCGATCATGGCAGTGGAATAATATATACCTGGTTCATACATCCATAACAATTAAAAAAAAACGAATTATTTAATAATTCACGTATGAGAGCATTTTTTGTTATAATAATAAATTATAAATAAAAGAAACCAATGGGAAAAAAGTTTATGCAAACGTCGAAATAAAACTCACTAAAGTATAACGGGCTCCGTTTGACTCCGACATTTTCATCGATGAAGGCAACTGCCAATGTAAAGAGGGGGGTGCTGCCTGCCCCGTGGAGCATGTGACCCAGCATGAAAATTACGATGTATATGGAGCTTGAGGTGGTCGCTTGGTAGGAGCATTCGTATTTTTCCATCGTGCCTGATCGATTGACAGGAGCCGAATCCAAGCACAACATGCTCGGATCTTTCCGCGTGTCGTAAAAGTAAGGACCGACAAGAAGATTTGGGGACGAAAACACTAAAGAACCTACTCTGTCAATGGAAGTTAATTTTCTTCAATTGAATAACTGGATGAAATGTTAAATTATGTAGATCGAACAAAAACCTATTTATTGAAACATTCAAAATACATTGGGACATTCAAAAAGTTATTTGAAACATTCAAAAATAGCATACTAAAAATTCATCGAAGCGTTCAAACAATTCATTTAAACGTTCAAAAAATTTATTGAAATATTTGAAAAATAGAAATGAAAATGACCCCATAACTAACGCCCCTACAGCAATCCAGCGCGGTTTGTGACCCAATCCCCCGTAAAACGAGACCGGTACTAAACAAATTATCGATGCCAGGTCGTATCCCATGGCAATTATTCCACTTTCTGTGCTGCTGAATTTAAACCTTCGTTCCAGCGTTGATAGACAGACACTTACGAAACCACTGACAACCATACCCTGGATTAAAACCAGAAATAGTTTATAGCAAATTCTAATCAATGAGATATTGACACGGCATATTTTACAATTTTAATAAAAATTGGTATTTGTATTTGTCGAAATAAGTAGAAAACCATGAAATTTAAATAAATGTGCCAACCTGTAAGGCAACGAAACAGCAGGCGACACACAAGAAGGTCCCAATTTTCATAAAAAATTTGTGGAAGCATCCATACTTCAACCGAATCGTAGTCGGGAAGCTTGTAACGATAATTTGAGATGGGAAGTTGAGATTTGAAGCCCTTTCAGCAGATGATGACGTTTCCAGAAATCTCTCTACGTTCCCGATGTGTCCTTGCAGACTATCCACTATTGACAACTTCTCAGGCTCTTTGTTTGTTGGCAACATTTTTTCACGTTCGTTCTTCACTACTCGATAGTTGTACTTTTTGATTTTACGGAGTAGATGATTCGGTGTGGATATTTATCTACTATTGTTGTTAGTCCAATAATAATACTCATCGTGTCGGAAATATTTCTTATGTTTAGGTTGATTTTATAGAACAATTTCGAGAAGTAATTTCGTTTACATAGTAACGTTTTTTGAAGGAAATATTTATTTACAAATTATTTAACTTTTACTCACTCTGGTAAACGACGCGAACAATATAAGGTAAACATAGGCAGTCTTGCATGAACGTAACATTGTAATGCTCAACCAATGAACAACAAAAGACCTGCTAACAATTCTTTTGAGCTTACTAAATATTCCATTATTTTAATGTTTATTTTCTTGTTTGTGTTTATGTTTATATTAGAAAAAATAAACATATATGACGTAACTTCAGATTTCAAATGTCTATGTTCTTATTGAACGTTTTAGGTACAAGCTCACCGATTATACAATATATTTTTATAACATTAATGCATGTGTAATAGTAAAAACCATAATTTGTTTACGAAATACAAAAAGCATCCAAACGAATGGAGAGCAAACAAATGAAACAACAAATGCAGTGTGCATTTATGTTGGGAGTTACATAATGTATCAGCGCTGCGTGGTTTATCAAGGGCTGCTCTTGAATTTCAATTTACCAAACCTTTTTTTCTAATCGCAAAAAATGATAGAACACTTTCTGCTATGAATAATTTAAAAGTTAGCATGGAGGCATTTCTTAAATGTTATAATTTCAAGTGTAAATCATCAAATATATGAAACTATTGTTTGCTTATATAATACGGATTCGACATAATATATAGATACAAATGAATATATATTGATAACTGTGGTTATGTATAAATATTTGTTTTTAGGAGCATGTAAAACACACACACATATGTATATAAAGTTTATATTTTTATTTATAGCTTGAATGTATTGTTAACATATATATATATGCATCTGACCTAATTGTGTAGTACGTATGTTGCTTTGTACTTTGTAATGTATGCGCCCCATGCCATATAATGCATATGATGTTTGGTTAGTTAGATGTTTGACGAAGAGTTAGTAGAATATACCATGGGTATTAATACATATACATATATATTATTTAATAAATGAATATATAGCGTGTGTCTGTGCGTGTCTGTGTGCGTGTCTGTGTGCGTGTGTGTATGTGCGTACATAATACATCTATCTAACGATATTTGATTATATACAATATAAGAAAAAACGTATACAAATGAATAGATAGAAACTACATTGTACACGTGTGTATGAAAATGTTTAGGTAGAAATGCAATGATGAAAACAAAAGTTATCCTCTTTCGCCGTTGTTAGGTCATCTGTTGTGAAAGTCGAATTAACTTTGCCCTATCAAAAATCAGGATTATTTTATTATTGTCAACTACTTATATATATATATATATATATATTCGTGTGTGTGTATGTATAAAATGTAACAACATATATATATATATATATAAGGCAGTAGCCATTGAGTTAGAATATTTTCAAATGAACAAAATATCGTGAAATGAGCAAAAATGTCGTGAACATATGTGAACCAACATATGTGTATGTATGTAACTTATGTAGATTAGGATGAATTTGTATTTAAAAGGTTATCGTTCAACAAGTTGCATATTTTATTTTGAAGTGTAATTTGTGTAAATTATATATAATATGTAACATCATAGTGGATATGATATTTTGTTGCGATCAAGCCTACCTAGATTGATTGATATCAGGGATTCAGCAAATATAATATTTTTAAAATTCTAATTTTGTAAGGTTTTTATGAAAGATTTCTGTTTATCATATTTTTTTATACTCACGGTATCAAGTGAGAAGTTTACAGTTTGTTAACTGCGCGAAATGACATGGAAGAGATATGCTGAATACATGTTTGTTTTGCAACCGTTAGTCATCTTTGAAAAGTTAGGCCATTTTGAGAAGACATACAACCCATCCCGCGATAATCTCAATGGCCATGTTTAGAAAGAACAAAGTCCTAATAGGCAAATGCATCAAAACGACATCTCTATATTTAACATTCTGGATGATGGTTAAATCTTATTTTTTTATAATTTGATAATATTAAAAAGTCGTAACACTGTTTAACGTTATTTCAATGAAATGAAAGGGATTGACCAGCAGTCTTATAGGGACATCGTTCGTGCATTTGGAAAAATTATTCGGCGTGACGTCAAACGAAATCTCCATCATTCTGGTAATTTTCTCGGTGGGCTACCTCGTCGGAGCAATCTTATGCGCCTTCATTTACGACAGAGGGGTTCCTGAGTTCTACTTTGTGGCCTTCAATTTGCTGTCGTCGTTTTCGACGCTTGTATCGGGAGCGATGGAGAACATTTTTGTGTTCGGTGCTGCTATTGCCGTCCAGGGCTGTGGAATGGGGTTCGATGATGCAGGTGGGTTGGAGCGGTTTGGTTGTGGCGGCCCTCGTGTCGGTTGAATTTTATTTTTCTCCGTCTCATTTATGTTACAAAATGTTTTATAATTCGTGCAATAATATATAATTAGTATTGATTTCCAGAGTAGTTATTGATATTTTGTGGTGTAAAACTCTTCTCCTTAATACAACTGATAATAGTTTGGAATGTTTAATACTTTTAAACAGCATTCAACCATATATTTTAATTGAATCTTATATGTCATGAACAGCTGGCCAGTCATACTGCGTGAACTTGTGGTTGAACCATCGACTGCAGAGACCATTCCTTCAAGCAGCCCATGCTCTCTGGTCGCTCGGAGGAGTCCTCAGTCCCATCGTCATTAAAATATTCCTCTGCGAGTTTCAGCATGATCAGATTGTTGAATCATTGGAGATCCAAAGAAAGACAGTTGAATGCAACAAATTTAACAGTTCAACACTCAGTACTGTTGATGACATCAACTGCAACAATTCACAATTCCACAATTCTAACGTAACAGAAGTATGCGCGGGAGATGAACTGGAATATTCTAGATATGCATTCTACACAATTGGCTCGATAATATTTGCAGCCAACATACCATTTTTAATAATTTCAATTGAGAAATGCCTTACAAGAAACTCTACAGGCATGACAATAGCGATAGATTATAACAGAAATATCACTATTGACGACATTACTGTTAATGAGGCTGAAATCAAAAAATCTTTAAAACATAGTGAAGTAGATACATCGAATATAAAATTTTCTGGAAATTTTGAACTGTTGAACAGAACTTCAAAAATAATTTACCTGTGTCTGCTATTTATAATGGCCATGTTAAATATGTACATAGAAATCTTGCCAATCAACTTTCTAGTTTCATTCGCGGTCAAACACTTAAAATGGTCAGTAATGGACTCGAGTTTATTGCTTTCGTGTTTCTTCACTGCCCATTTTGTCGGTCGAATTTTAGCGGTTCTGACATCGGCCTGCATACGACCAATAAAAATGATCTCTGCCAACATCGTACTAACCGCAATTGGATGCACATCCCTCCTACTATCCAACACATCACCACTAATAGTCTGGGCAGCAGTAACTGTGGCTGGACTTGGAGTATCAAACACGTTTCCCTCTACGGTTCTTTGGGTATCGGAGACAGTCCCTGTTAGCGGTCGAATCAGTTCAATAATGATTGCAGGCGCATCTGTTGGAACGATTTCTTCTCCATACTTCGTCTCGCTTCTCACTGTTAATTATGGAACTTTTTCCTTCATCTACGTGTTAATTTCCGCGGCGTTAGCACATGTTGTGGTTTTTATATTCTTGTATTTATTTATAACAAAAATTGCCAGAAGATTGTAGTTCGTGTTATTGAACAAACTTTTTGTTTTAAATGTTTTTTTTTTAAATATTTTTACGACATGTTTGTCGTCTGCATATGTTTCAAACATTCACAGGTTTTTGTTGCCTCATTATATAACAATTGATATTTATATGTATGTAAATAACGTACAAAAATATTTTTAATTTTTTTTTAAATTTTTTGACATCTGTAAAAAGTATAAGAGATGTAAGTCTTTTAATCCAAAATTTTAGAACAAACCAAAAAGTTCAAACTATTGGATCTGTTACCCATCTTCACAATTGCTTGGTTTGAATAATGTTACCAATTAAAATAGAAATTATTACGACTATAAAAACTCAAAAGTCCTTGGACGCCTAGTTTACACTCACACTCACGTACACACACAATCACGCATACAGACTCGTAACACACTTTTATTTTTATAAAAAAAAAAATTATTTAAACACAACGCAGTTTCATAAATCAATTTATATTTTATTATCAAAACACCTACTATTCAATATTTCATTTATGTACTTGCTAATGTTTTTTCTATAATAACAAACTTTATGTAAACATAGTAGCCTATAGATAAACAAAATATTTTTGGTCTGAAAATTGATCCAGTTTTCCCTAGGAAACAATCAATTCAATAAAATGCAGCTGTCGACAAGTAAATTAAAAATCTTGGAATTAAAAAAATTATTGAATTAGGATATAATTTACACAATATTTTTATCTAAAAAATACTTTTTTAAATTTTAAATTAGAAAGTACTTCGGTTTCGACCATTTCAACAACGACTGGCCATATTCAAATTGCCAAAACTATTTCACTGTATATATTCCTTGCAGTTTTGGTAAGTCAAGTTGAATTAAGATGAAAAAAATTAAACAAAATAACTGAAACCATTATAATGTAATATATTTTTCATATTTATATTTATACCATAACAAACATTATCAAATATTACATCACAAAGGGGTTTTCTTCTTCGCTGATAGGTTCATCGTTGCCGTTCTTGGATGAATTTTTTAGAATTCAGAAAGGAGAGAAAACTACCACGATAGCTGCTATATATGCTGGTGTGGTCTTAGGCGCGTTGTCTTGCGCTTTGTTGTACAACTTACTGTCGAAAGAGATAATTTTCTCGACTGCCTTCATATTGGCTGGATTCTCTTTGGTATGTGCTGGAGTCTGCAACTCGTTGAGCTGTTTTGCTATATTCGTCTTCTTTCATGGTTTTTCATTAGGGAGCATAGGAACCGGTTGAAAATATTTTTATTTATTCGTACTAAAAGTTTGTATTTATTTTAAATGAAAATATTTTTCATTCAAGCGATCCAACCTTATATATTAAGACTCTGGCAAAAGAATGCTTATCAGAAATCGTTATTCCACGGTATCTACTTTGTCGGATCAACTGGATCGGTCATGGCTCCTTTTGTCCTGCAATATTTTCTATGCGAAGACAAAGTTTCAAAAGAAGAAGATAAATACATATTCCACGTAAATCCGACATATACTAGATTCTATCACCCAGATTCATCTTATTTTTTTCACTCAAGATCGGATTTGAATCGAAACAGGAGTGATTCTTGTCCATTTTACTCTTCTTCTTGCGTAAGAGCTGTACCATATACTTTCATAACATTTGGGACCGCTATACTTCTTGCTTCTGTGCCGTACATTGCCATCTGGGTTCATAATTACGCAGAAAAAAATGAATCGAATCATTCGAATCAAATGAGTTTTTCAACGATTCCTTCCTTTGTTGAAAATGCGGCGTCCAGTTTGTATCTGAAAATGGCAATTTATTTAACTGCTTTCTTATTTGTCATTTTTGTGGAACTCCAAGAGAGCATACCTGTTTATTTTTTATCAAGTTTCGTCGTCAATTATTTAAAATGGAGTCCCGTGAATTCTCCGTTTTTATTATCGGCCTATTTTATGTCGCAGTTGTTAGCTAGGATATGCATTGTAATTTTATCAAAAAAAATTCCACCGTCAACAATTTTGTGGTTTAACATTACGGCAACATTTGTCGCCTCAACATCCGTCTTCTTCACAATTAACTGGAGTTACATCATCTGGTTTGCATCACTAGTTTATGGAGTTAGCATGGCTACAACATTTTCCACCTACATACTCTGGATGTCTCAGACTATTGAGATTGATGCCAAAATTTCCGCCATGATGATCATCACAAGTTCCACAGCTGGCGTCTGCACGCCTCTCCTCATGGGTAGATTAATTCATAAATATGGCCAGTTTTGTTTTGCCTACTGTCTCATATTTATTTCCTTTTACAATTTATTAGCCTATGCCTTAAAAACCTTTTTCTTTCATATTTTTTCTGATCTTAGATAATGCAAAATTTTTTCAAAGTCAAAACATTTATTTGCGTTATTATATAAAATATTTTTCAGGAGTAATGAAAACAAATAATTGACTGAACATTTGTATTATTTAACAGTTAATTTTTTTTTGTTTGCATATGAAAAAACTTTGAAACAGAAGAATTTATTTGTAAATAAGCCGTTCAATTCATTAACCGTGCATGAGATCATTGCTAAACAATGTCACCACTATTAATTTTAACAACTGGCTTATATTACTGACAGACAGTCAAAAATCATATCCAACAATTGTGAAAAAATTTGTAAACAAAAAAAATATTAACAACCCATGATTCTTTCTGTATTTTTAGTAATTATATATTCATAACATTTTTTAATAGATTATAATAAAAATGTATGATCATTGTTTATTTTATTAATTTTTTTACTTCATACATTGGCCGTTTCTGTATTAAAAACTTTTATACAAAAGCTTGATGTTTCAGTTTGGCAACGCGAAAAACTATACAAAAAACTTCGAAATAATTGTACAACTAAAACAAAGTCAACATTGACGAGTAGGTATTGTTATATTATTCTATAATATTAGTAATACGAACACAGTTATAATGAACAGTGTTATATTATTATAGCTAAAATTTTTATTTTTTTTAAATTTAAAAAGACATTTTAAGGATTTTGAGAAACAAGTAATGATAAAAAACGTTTTAAACCACATTTGGTAGCCTGTAGAATTTAATCATTTATCAAATAAGAGGCGCATGATATATATTTATATTATTGAGCATTCGGCTACATACACAACGTATCAAATCGAACACCGTGTGTGTATATATATATATATATATATATATATATATATATATATATATATATATATATAATTTTTAGATTTAGATTTTTCTAACGGTAGATAGTAAATCATTGTGGAGTTTCTTGAGTTCAAAACTAAAAGTTATATATATTTTAAACATGATAGAGCATTAGAGTCTATTACAAATATTTGTGACTGAAAAAAAAATTTTTGTTGTGGTTGAAAAATTTTAAAAACTAAATCAAGTATAAATCCATAATCTGAGACGGATATATCACTTAACCATTAATTATTACCATTTTATTTAGCCTTATCTTATAGCCAACCTTAATAATAAACGTAGGATCCTGGTTCAGTCAACAGTTGACACTAAACGACAGGGTTGCAAATAAAATTTAATCACAAATCCATCGAAATGCAATGTTAATTCAAGCCTTCAAGTTTTTAAACTGGGAAAACGAATGACAATTATTTATAAAGCATAGTGGAAAATAATATATATTTTCATTATATTTTGTAATAATATTACTTTATTAACCATGTCCTTTCATCTGCGACGATGGAACAACCGAAAAAGGCGGCAATGTTGTTACAAAGTTGATCAGTGGATATGATTAGAACTTCTTTGGAAATAGGTCAACATCAACCGAGAAACTAAAGCTAACCGTAATAAAATTAAATTATTAAAGCCAATTACTATTTTTCTTTAATTTAATGTAGTATGTTAAACAAGCTTAAGAAAAATAATTTTCAAAATATCTTCCTTTAAATAAATTTAGCAATAAGTAAACGCTTGAAAAAATTTTACGCATTTTTATTGGTGATCAAACATTTATTTTAAAATTATAAATATTAAAAAAATCAGAAATAGTTTTACACAGGTTTCATTGTATAACATATCTATGTTTTACAATCGTTAATGTTTTACAACATAGCTTGTAAAAATAAAGTGTATATAACCGAGTATCACACCAAGCCAGTTCATTCATCGTTCGTTCACTCTAGTGACAGCCAATTTGGTTTTTCTTTTACGATAGCAAATTTTCTGATCAAGTTTACGTTCGAGATTGAAAAATGGCCAGTGATAAAGTCGACTTGAGTTTGGATGAAATTATCAAGAAATCAAAAGACGGTCGTGGTAGAGGTAGAGGTGGTAGAGGAAATTTCAACAACAGGAGAAGCGGTTCTTTCCAACAAAAAAATGGCGGAGGTAACGCGGTTCAAGGTGTGACACGTCGAACTAATCCAATCAGAAGGGGCAATCAGGCTTCGAATCGAAGGGGTAGAACTTTCTTGGGGGGTGTTATTCGTGGCGGTGTGACAAAAAGAAGCAATAAAAGTTTCATTCCGGTTAGTTTTTCGTTTTTTAATTTGTAAAGTAAATTTACTATTTTACTTTGATATTCTTTTGTCGTTTTTCATTTTATTTTGATTAAAAATTAAATAAAAATTTTCAATTATTTTTACAAAGTTGAGTAGCTAAAAATAAGTTATTTAATTAATTTTAAAACATTGTAATTTTTATTAATTAATATTAGAGAAACTTGGAAGAAATCTGGAATCACGATTTATTTGAAGAAACAGTCGGTTTTAATGCAAATAATGCTGCCATTGAAGGACAACTAATAATTTCAAATCTTGACTTTGGTGTCAACGACTCTGACATAAAGGTTTCTAAAACTTTTTAAGAAAGTTTTATAGAAAAATCATTTAATTAATTTATTCAAATAAATTAGATGTTTCTCCTGAAAAATATTCATTAGTAAATACATTGTGTAACAAAAAAATAGATATAAAATAATAACGAAATATTTTGGTAATTAAGGCGACAATGGATTAAATAATTTTTATATTTAACAAAAAATATTCAATCGCAGGAACTCTTCTCAGAGTTTGGAATGTTAAAAAAAGCAGCCGTGCATTACGACTTTTCAGGTCGATCACAAGGCACTGCCGAAGTTATATTTGCATCAAAGCAGGCTGCTCTCCAGGCCATGAATCGTTATAATTATATTCCTCTTGATGGTAACCAAATAAGTTGATGAATTATCTTTTCAACGTCATTTATGACATAAGTCATCACCGACTAGCACTTATAATCGTTGCTACCATCTATCTCCATCATTTCATTGTTCAACGGCAGTATTTTTATCCAGTTGTTTAGCACAAATCTCCACACTGTTTTGGAGTATCTTTAATTTTCTTTTTGAATTTTTATTTTTCATATAGCAAAATAATATAATCTTAAACAAATTGTCAACTCTCCAAACGACAGGACGTCCAATGAAGATACAAATTGTCGAAAATTCTTCAATTGAAAATCGTCTGAGAAGGTAATATCAGTATTGCAATTTTAATTTCATCAAGTTTTTGTCTATTGTTATGACTAAATTAACATTTAAATATGTATGGATTGGTAGGGGATTCAGCAGCAGCAACAATAATGCCATTGGTGGTCGTGGAAGTGGAAGAGTGCAGAACAAATCATTCAACAACAACAACAGCATTGGCAACAACAACAGATCCTTCAACAGTAGTAACAACTCGTTTAACAGATCTAACATTAGGTATTTGCTTATTTGTCATCTACTAGATTGTATAATGCTTTACTTTTCATATGAAGAATGCTTGATTTTGTCATCTGGTATCAATGTTGGTTGTACAATGTTAATTTCTCACTCAATTTTCTATTTGTTGTTTTATAGGAGAGGCTTCAACAACAGACGAGGAGGTCGTGGTGGCAGGGGAAGGGGTGGCAGACTGAACCAACCTGTCCTGACCAAAGAGGAGTTGGACGCTCAACTGGATAGTTACAATAAGGTAAATTGGTATACACTTTATATAATCTAATGTAATTTCATCTTATATCCATTGCTCGAATGCATGGCTGATTGCTCTTTTATTAATTTTTTGCCTTTCAATAGTAGTTTTTTATTCATGCTTTATTAATAATATTATAAGAATGTTTTAAACTATTTTTTATAGATGGAGACCGAGTAAGGCCCCTACAGAAAGAACTGAACAGTGAAGCAGAATTTGAAAGAATTTGAAGCAAATGTTGACATGTTCTTATTGTCTGTAAATAACTGACAACATATTTTTATTTATTTATGTCTGTATATAAAATTTAGAGAATATTTTTTTTATGAATGGTTCTTAACATGTTTGTGTTACAGCTTTCCATATTTCATCACCCGTTGAAATGACTTATTTTATTTATCAATAATATGATCTGAACTTAAATATCGACGTATCAATATTTTATAATTCGCGTGTGTACATAATATTTGTTCTCGAAAAGTTAGAATAAAAAATTAACTATACCAAACTTGTTCTCAATATGACCGCCTGCAACGAAAATCTCGTATCACCTGCACTTGCTTTCGTTATTTGAACGCTAAAATTGAACATTTCACGAAACGAGGGATGGTTTGTTCAGTGATGCCAGGGTGTGGTGTTTAAAGTAATTTAGTGAGGTACGCTTTTTTTATTAATTTTAACTGATAAAGTATCAAAGCAAAGATTTGTTAAATACAAGCTTAAGTCATAAGATGAAAAATATTTGCTTGGAAAACTCAGCGATACTTTTTTTGAAATGACATCTCATTTCTTCATAAAACAAAAAATTTTAATAACAGATTTTTAAATAAATATTAACATTAAATTCTTCTATTATTTCTGGCGACTAACTGGTTACAAAATCGAGATGAATTTTTTTTATATTTCTGCAATAATTGGCGAGTTTGTGAAAACGGACGGACTGAAATCATGTTTAAAATAAAAAACTTCTTTGTTTGTTTTTAATATAATTGTTTATTAAAGAAACGTTAATTGAAATATTAGAAGACACGTTAGTCGACAAAAAGCGAAAAGCATACACGTGCAAGTTAGCAATAATATAAGATAGTCAAGTTAGCAATAATATAAGATTGTCTGAAATTATGGAAAGTCATAAATATATTGAAACATATATAATATACATATACATATATATTATTTCAATACTTTCCCTTGTTTCAAAACATTTTATGACATTAGTCCCATATGTCCACACAGGAGTTTCAGTCTGACTGTCCAGTGGCTTTGTCATCACATCACCGAATTGATCACTTGTTGAAATTTGTGTGATATCAACCGTTCCATCTTGAATTTTTTCTCTAATAAAAAACTTCTTCAAGTCAATGTGTTTTGTTCGCCGATGAAATTGTGGGTTCTGAGCTAATTTGACTGCAGCACTGTTGTCAACTTGCAAGATTGGCACATCTTTCAAATCAACCTGTAATGATTTGAATAATCTTTGAAGCCAAATTATTTCTTTGACAGCCTCTGTCGCAGCGATGATCTCAGCCTCTGTTGTAGATGTTGCAACTATGGCCTGTCGTTGATTAATCCATGATATTATGCCTACTGCATATATCACTGCAATACCTGTGGTCGAACGTCTAGTCTACAGCCTCCAAAATCTGAATCACTGAAACACTGCAAAACTCCTTTTGTACTGTATTCTGAACCTGCTGTGTCTGATTGATTATTATCATTTTCTTTAAGCATTGGGGTGTGAACTGGTTTACATTCTTCAAATCTGAAAAGTTTAAGAATTTTTCTTGCATAACTAGATTGACAAACTTTTATGCTTCCATCCAATAGAGTTTCTATTTGAAGACCTAGAAAATATGTTGCAGGTTTAACTGTAACCTGAAATTTCAGCTTCAATTTTTCAATGAATAGATCTAAATCTTCTGTGTTGCTAGCGGCTACCAGTCCATCATCAACATACAATGCTAACATCATAATGTTTTCATTCTGTTTTTTAACATACAAACATGGATCCGCTTCACTTGACTTAAAACCACATTCAAAAAGAAACTTGCCGAAGCATTGATTCCAACGACGAGGTGCTTGCTTTAGACCATACAGACTTTTGAGCAATCGACAAAATTTATTTGAGCCATCATTATATCTTACTGGTTGTTTGATGTGGATCACTTCATCAAGTTCACCATACAGGAATGCAGTTGATACATCAAATTGAAGAAGATGCAGTTTTTCACTTGCTGCAATACTTAGTACAGAGCGAACTGTAATCAACTTTACTACTGGACTAAACGTCTGATTGTAATCTACATTTTGTCGTTGTGGAAATCCTTTTGCCACAAGTCTTGCCTTGTATCTATCTACACTTCCGTCTGGCAAGGTTTTTATTTTGTAAACCCATTTACATGGAATAACTTTAGCTCCTCTGGGTAGCTCACAAAGTTCCCAAGTTCTATTTTTGTTTAATGAATTAATTTCATTATTCATGGCATTATTCCAATATTTACTTTCCCTGCTTTGAATGGCTTCTTCGTATGTATCTGGTTCATGTACATCTAATAAATATGTCTCAGCCTGCATCACATAATCATCTAACTTCTTAGGTTTCTGCAAGCTTGACCTATCTCTGAGTTGAACTTAAACTGAATTATCTATAATCTTCTCAGTGTCATCTGTAATTTCTTCTTTTGAATCATCATTTCTACTTCTCGAGTCATTTTCTGATTTGCAATTGATTTGAGGATCTGTTGTAAAATCTTTTTGAGTCTGATGTTCAAATGATGTTGTACATTTCATAGGTTTTTTTTGGAAAACTACATCTTTTGAGAATATCATTTTATATTGATTTTTGAGTTATATACGATAACGTTTGTCACCATCGTAACCAACAAGGTAACCTTTTATGGCTTTCTTATCCATTTTTTGACGTTTTTGATCACGTATGTGAACAAAACATGTAGAGCCAATTATTCTCAAATGGTTAATTCTCGGCTTTTTACTTGTTCAAATTTCAAATGGGCTTTTATCTTCAATCGACGACTTGCCTGTTCGATTAAGTAAATATACTGCAGTTGAACATAACTCAGCCCACATAGCGACTGGAAATTCAAAATCTGGATTTGAGTACTTTAATGTGCGTGCCATTTCAACTATTGTTCTGTTTTCACGTTCACTACCACCATTTGTTGATGTGTATATGGTGCTGTTAGTCATTGCGTGATTCCATGGCTGCGCAGGATGTTTCGAACTTCTTCGTTGTCAAACTCATCCCCATTGTCACTTAAAATTCTTTTACTTTATGACCTTGAGTCGCTGCTTGAGACAAAATATTTTGTAGTGCCTGTTTCACTTCATTTTTGTGTCTAAGAAAAGAAATGAACCTCATTTTGCTGTAATGATCTTTGAAAACAACAAAATATCGTTTACTATTAAATGATTTTGTACTGAAAGGACCACAATCATCTGCTGATAGTAGTTCACCTGGTTTATTGGTTGCATTTCTCTTGCCAAATTTTAACCGATGTGCTTTACCATAGAGACATGGTTCACACAAATTCTTGTCAAGATGAACTTTAATGTTTAACTCTTTTTCTATAACATTCTTTATGTGACGTTTATCTTGATGACCAAAACGTTCATGGTAGAGCTGCACTATTGAATTTTCACTGACTATATTCACTTCAGCCGGTGTATCTGGAGTTAATGAAATCAAGTTTGCCTCATACAAGGAACCATCTACTCGTCTTGTCCCTTGTACTACCACTCGGTACTTTATACTGAGTTGACATTTGGTTGCATAAGATTCAATCTTGCTGTTTTTTGAATTTTTATCTTGTGCGACTAATATGGAAAATAGGTTTCTACCTATATTTGGAACATACCAGATATCTGAGAGTTTTATATACTGTTGTTTGTTATTTACTGTTGACAGCATATTTATTTCGCCTCTACCCACAGCAGCAAGAACTTCTTTTTCTGCAGCTTGAACAGAACATGGTGCGACAAACTTCTCAAAAGTAACAAAATTATCTGGATTGTTCGTTAGGTGCTTTGTTGCTCCATTGTCAATATACCACTTAGTGTTGTCTCTCAGTGCTTGATTACTGGCTGACGTGCACAAAACTACATTTGATGTTTCATCATATGCTTTTCTTGGTGTCGCTGAAACATTTTGGAATTTTTATAAGGTCTTCCATCACTGACCCACTTTCTACATTGCTTAACCCAGTGTCCAGGTTTATGGCAATAGTTCCAGTTACCAACTGGTTTTGTCCTTTTAGTGAAATCTCTTGATTTGTTGAAACTTGGCTTTTCAACATTTACAACTAAGGCGTTCTGCCTTGATGATTTATCGATTGTGTCGAAAGTCTTTATCTCTCTTTCGAAAGCACAGAGATGAGTGATTAAATTATCTATCGACTGCTTTTCTTCACTTAGCATTAGCTAACTTGATTTGAAGTTTTGGAAACTATTTGGAAGAATCTGCATCGCTTTGCATACTAATAGCAGCTCTGGTAGTTTATTTTCTCCCGATGCCTGAAACCCACTGTTTAATTCGTTCCATAAAGTCTTCAATCTTGCAATTTGGCCGAATACATCTACATCCGCTATCCAATTGAAATCGAAAAAATTGCTACAAACTTGGAACAGTTGGTCATTAGTTGACGCTTCAAAATTTCTTTATAATTCCTCCCAAACTTCAAACGCTGTGTTCTTGTCCATTATCTTTTGGTATGTATCTTCTGTGACTGCATTCGCAATTACTGATTTGGCATAACTGATTTCCTTTCTAAACAGATCTGATTTATTTTTAAAATCTTTTGTCTGTTGCTCTGTTTGACTTTTTAGGATTTTTGGTTTTGACAACTTCCCACCAATCACATCAAGTGCGCCCTCATGGTAGTCCATGAAATCTCGAACACGACGTTTCCAAATGGGCCAATCGGCTGTGCAACTTAACTGTTTTATTTGAAGCTTTGAGTCCATTTTGAAGGAAAAAAAAATTGATATTCTTGCTTCAACGTTAGTTGGAAAAGTTCTTTTAGTCACGAATTGCAATCTCTTTCTTTTTTATCAAAATAACTTTTTCTCTAAACAATTTATTAAGCGTTCTGGGCCCATAACCTGTTTAAAATAAAAAACTTCTTTGTTTGTTTTTAATATAATTGTTTATTAAAGAAACGTTAATTGAAATATTAGAAGACACGTTAGTCGACAAAAAACGAAAAGCATACACGTGCAAGTTAGTCAAATTAGCAATAATATAAGATTGTCTAAAACTATGGAAAGTCATAAATATATTGAAACATATATAATATACATATATATTATTTCAATAAATCATGGTGCGATCAAATGGTGCATAAAAAAATACGTGTCCAACATAAACGAAGCCCACGAGTTATGCGTGAAAGAGGATGCAGCTAGCAAGGAGTTGGACATGTACAACAAATACATCAGTGTCATCAGATACCTGGAAACTACGGAGTTCAACAAGATAGTTAGCAGTCCGGACAAATGAACGATTAAATTAAACGAATGAATTAATGAACGATCAAACAAACAAACGAATGGAATTTTTTTCAAGATTCGTCGGCAACTATTGGCGAAGACGATTTTGTGCCAAAAGATGCCGACATTTAATTGTTTTATTATATAATTTGTTTTTCAAAAGTAATAACAGCAAATAATTGACTGAACATTCGTTTCTTTCGACGGTTGAATTGTTTTCGTTAGCGTACAAAGAACGTTGAAATAGAAGGACGCATTTGTAAACACGCCGTTCATTAACCGTGCATGTACAAACCGCTGCCATACACAATGTTGCCATTATCAAGTAGAACAATCGGCTTTGTATTGCTGACATATTATTTATACAACAATTATGAAGAAATCTGTAATATGAGTAAAAATTCAACTTTTGTTCAAATTTCAGTTTGAAATGTATTTAGAATAATAACCCATGGTACTTTCTGTATTCTTAGTGATATTCTTAGTGCTATTTTAGTCATAACATTTTTTAAAACTTATACATTATATATTAAATTGTATAAACTTTGTTTATAGTTTTTTTTATCATTTTTTAGATATTTTAGTATTAAAATTTTTATAAAAATTTGATGTTTCATTTCAGTTACTATAAAAATATTTTTGGAACTTTTGTAAAGCTTAAACAACAACAGTTTCAACATTGACGGGTATTGTTACACTCTTCTATACTAGTGATATTAGTTGTACTAACACAGTTATAATAAACAGTGTTTGATTGTTATAGCTAACATTTGTATTTAGATTAGGTTAAAATGTTGAAAGTAGTACAATAAGGGTTACAGATAAAAGTGATGATGGACAAATACACGTTAAACAACATTTATAGCGTGTAAATTTTTCATATCCTGAAAATTTTGAAACTGCATTTAACTGAACATAATCAATTTTTTGGAAAAACATTTTAAATAAATTTTCAAACAAAAAAATTGTTATGGAATTGGAGAACTATGTCGAAAAAAAACCGAAACACGGAGAAAAAAGTAAATTTGTAAAATTATTTAATAAAATAGATTTTACATAAATAAATAAATAAAATGAATTATTATGTTACTTTTTATTTAGAAATAGACTGCATCTGTTCACCTCTGCTCTGGTTTAAATCATTCTCTCTATATTGGATGTTCATAGTAATGGTAAAAATGTTACAAGGGAAATAAACAATGATAATACACATATGAATTCATTTTTTATTTCTAGGGCATCGCAAACACAATTTTGGGTGTGACTCTAGTTCACCTGGAGAAGCTAATGAATGTTGGAGAACAGACAATGTCGGCTGTCATTACGTTTTACGCACTTGGTTACTTATTCGGATCGATACTTTGTGCCCTCATATACGACCGTCTGAAACCTGAATTTGTGTTCATTGTTTCTAACAGTGTTGCTTGTGTGGCTACCATTGGAGCTGGTCTCACTTCCACCTTCCTGTTTTTTGCCACTTGTATAGTAATTAAAGGAATCGGGTTTGCATTCACGGATTCAGGTTAATATTTGCAAAATATGTTGTAAAAATAATTGCAAAAATATGTTTACTCTACATTGATAACTTTAGCTGGCCAGTCTTATGGAGTAAAAATATGGAAGAGACACAAGTACATGAATTCTTTGATTCAAGGCATTCATCTTCTTTGGTCTTTTGGAGGTATCATAGGGCCGTTCATAATCAAACCATTCCTTTGTGAAATCAACCATTTTGTCGAAAATTTTAATAAAACATTAGATAGAAGTGAAATTATTCTTACGCAGGATGAAATTCTGGGAAACATTTCTACAACGTGTCTGAATGATATGGAACTCACAACAGTTCGTAACGTATTCATAGTTTTTGGCTCCATTGGTCTTTCTGCAAATATACCCTTTCTAATAATTCTGCTCTTCAACATTTTAAAGAAAAAAAAATTATCCTTTGTTCGACAAAAAAAGAATGAAGAAGTGACAAAATATATAGCGGAAGAACAACAAGTTTTATGCGAGCCAGATCCACAGGCAAACAGAATTGAACAGACTCTGCACCTCAAACTTATATTGCTCACGTTTATATTTTTTTTTGGAATTTTGTGCTATTACGTCGAAGGCATAACAATTGCTTTTATAACAGCATTCGCTTTGAAACATCTACATTGGTCTGTACATCAATCAAGTTTCCTCATTTCAATTTACTTTGGAGCTCACTTTGCTAGTCGATTATTAGCTGTTTTAGTCTCAGTTTTTTTGACACCAAGAACAATTTTATCTTTTACAATAACAATGACGACGATAGCTTTTTTGTTAATGTTAGCTGTCAACCGGTTTCCGAATATTCTCTGGGCAGTTGTCTTGTTGGCGGGCTTCGGCACAGGAAATATTTTTCCAACAAATATAATTTGGGTAACAGAAAATTTGGTGTTGACTGGTAAAGTGAGTTCAGTAATTGTATGCGGTGGGTCGGTTGGATTCATTACAGGGCCCCTCTTGGTAGGAATGCTCACGACAAATTATGGCCAGATGTGTTTGGTTTACTTTCTTTTAGACTCTTCCTTAGTATTTTTAATTTTGTTTATATTTGAACTGTTATTCGTCAAAATATTTGGCAAATAATATAATTGTAAAAAATACAAAAAAATGTAACAAATTTTATTTGGGGTTACATTCAATGTATATTCATCGTGACAATTAATGAAAACTAATTTACATTTTTTTGTTTTTTTACAATAATTCATTGAATTAAATGAGATAATATTAATAAAACTTTGTTGCAAGTTACAAGTACCTACCATAAATTAATTTGAAGTTTCGTTTACAACGTTTAAATATTTGTAACATTACTGAAAACTGAATATTTTCTAAATTTCAATTTAAATAACCCTGGTGTTTTGAACACAAAACTAATAATGTAAATGCAAAATGACGATAATCCATATGATTGAAGTTTTTATGATTGAAGATTTATATGAAAAATTATAATATCAAGTACTGTCGACAATCTCATATTTATTACCTTTGTTCATAGTCGATGCTTTGGAGTTCAATTTATCTTAAAAACATTTTCTGTTGGATATTTATTACAAGGTTCTCTTTGAATATGAAAAATGATTCTGCAACTTAAAAATCCGATAACTTTGCTACCGAAAAAGAAATGAATAATAACATGAAGTTATTAACTAACAAAAAGTGATCTTTTACAGCCAATATTTTAAAATAAAACAGATATAAGTATATATAAGATACAATCAATATTTGAAAATACATTGAAAATGATAAAGGATTACCAAAAAAACTTGTTCTTTGTTGAATAAAAATTTATAGAAGAGTAGTTAAAAACTTGGTTTTCTATATGAATAAGTCAAAAACAACGATGAAAATATAGTTCGAAAAATTGAAAAACTAAACCAATAACTAATCAAAGCTGAAAATGCAGTGATGTTTTTTAATAATTTTCTGTACGAAAGCCTCAACCCTAATTTTATTTATATAATTATTTAATATTAATCGATGTCGATTTTAATGAACTTATATATATATTTATACGCTTATTTAATGTCACTGTTTTATATTTGAATTGAGCATTATCAATTTCGTATTTAATACGAATTCTTCATTCGAAGAAGACATGCAGATGGATAAAAACATATACATGTGGTATATAAGCATGCAAAAAAATATATTTAATATAAATAAACAAAGGCAACACACACACATATTACACAAATTTTGATAATTAATAACATTTATAATTTCTTCTGCTTGAAAAAACAGCATAAAATAACTCATTCAAAAGCATCATATGTTCACATGGCAATGGAGCAGGAAAAATGTGTCAGATAAAAGGAAAAACGTGAAATAAAATGTAAATTCAAATTAATAACCGTAATTATCGAATTTGAAGCATATAAATTTGTATTTGTCATTGAAATTAGATTGCATATGTTCACACATTGTTTGGCTGAAATCGATTTCTCTGTAATGGGCATCAACAGTTATGATAGAATTGAAAATTTCAAAAGAACTGGGAAATTTATTTTTATATGTAAAAATTTTAGCATTATGTGAAACGTTATTTTTATAGCGCGTTGCAAGCACAACTTTGGAAAGAACTTTCGTTCACCCGGAGAAGATAATGGATGTTAGAGAACAGACGATGTCAGCATCGGTTACATTTTATTTACTTGGTTACTTACTCGCATCGTTATTTTGTGCCCTCCCTACGATCGCCTGAAACCTGAATTTCTGTTTTTTGTATTCGACAGAATTACGTGATTAAAAGAATTGGATTTGGATTCAATGACTCAGGTTCATATGATTTTCTTAATCATAATCGTTACTAAACAACTTATATTTTTATCAGCCGGGCAATCTTATGCTCTTCGAAAATGGAGCAAACACAAGCGCAAACATTTCTTTTTTCAAAGCATTCACTTTATGTTGGTCTTTTGGAGGCCATATAATAATACGACAATTTTTTGGAAGATTTCACTGAAACATCAAACGAAAATAAAAATTTTGATAAAATTTTCGAAAACATTTCGACAACGTTTCTGAATGGCATGGAGCTCTTAACTATTCGAAAAGCTTTAATAGATCTTGGCTTCATAATTCTTTCTGCGAATATACGACTCATGTTAATTTTAATTTTTAACTTTTCAAAAAAAAATCTGTTTATTGACTTAGTGACAAAAAATTCAACGGAAGAAAAAAAATTTAGACGAACCAAATCTAAAACAAACAAAATTTAACAGACTCATATTTATTCTGGTCAGTTTTTTATTCGGAATTTTTAATTACCTCGAAGGCGTTCATAACAGCATTCGACTTGAAACATCTACATCTAATTTATATTAATTGGGTCGTTTATCAATCAAGTTTGGCTCTACCAATATTTATCAGTGCTTACTTCGCATGTAGATTGTTAACAATTTTAGTCTCAACTACCTCGAGACCGAGAACAATTTTATCAATTGCAATAACCGTACCTGCAATAGCTTTCTTGTTAATACTGGCCATCAACGCTCTACCAAATGTTTTATGGGTTGTGGTTTTGTTGACCGGTTTTGGCACTGGAAATATTTATCCGACAAATATAATTAGGGTGTCAGAAAATTTAGTTTTAACTGGAAAAGTTATTTTGGTGAATGGATTGAAATATCTTTGCCATAGTATCATAAATGAAACATGGTGAATCCGGTGAATCATGGTTTTAAAGTATGCAGCGCTAAATATCATAGCGAAAATCAAATTATCATATCTACTAGTACATTTTTTAATTTTCTCTTAGTTATTTATTTCATATTTTAAATTAAAAAGTGGACAAGATTTAAACTGAGTAACAAAAATTATAAATTTTTCCATCATATTAAAACCGTCGAAATTTACGATTATTCGCAAAAAGTTCAATCCAATATCGTACAAGTACATTCTACGTACATGAACAATTATCTACAGTCTAATGTTTTCGTGGCAAACCATATTGAAACCAATTCAACATTTAATAAACAGTTTACAAAATGATGAGATGAACATTGTACATTACAGTTGAGGCTGCATATCGTCATATTATTATAAATTAGGAACACCATCCTCTAAATGCAAGATCAAAAAACTAAACTCATTAAATTTTAAACGTCTAACAAAGCAGTACAAATACAAATTAGTAGTTTACCGTAGAATTTTTTTGATAAAATTTGTTTAAATCTAAAACATTAAAAAAGATTCTTTACTAGGGTGAACTTTTTTCATGGAACCTGATGTTGATAAAGCGGCCCAACTTTCAACTAAAAGTTTAATGATAAGATTTTGTCCATTTTGTCAATTTAATAATACTAACAAACGAAATTTTCAGAAGTGAATTGTTCAGATATGCAGTGGTTGAAATCCTTATCATTATACTGGCTGTCGACTGTCATGGTATAAATTTAAGCAACCAATTTCATCAATTGTATAATGTTTTAATGAATATTTCGTGTGTTTTTTCAGGGTATGACAGACTCATTGATTGGTGTGACATTGGTACACATGGAAAATTTATTTCAAACCGATGAATAAACGATGTATTCTATATTCACAATTTTTGCAGTGGGATTTCTCATCGGAACCTTAGTGTGCAGCTCTGTACAATCGTTTAAATCCCGAATTTTTGTTTATCTTTTCAAATTTAATTTACTGTTCGGCGACGATAGCATCGGTTTACATGTCAACATCTTCTTTGTACGCACTGTTTACTGTGGTGTGTGGAATGTGTTTGGGCTTCAACGATACAGACAAGAATTAATAGCATCAATACGATAAATAGAGTTGAATAGATTTACAAAAAAACACATTTAATTATTTGCAACGTCTCAGTCGTACGGCATTAAACTGTGGAGTGGGAATAAATATAAAAACACATTAATGCAGGGCTTCCACGTCACTTGGTCAATCGGAGGGAGCTTGGGACCGTTCATAACAAAATCATTCTTGTGCGAAATTGAAGTGGATGATCATTTCAATGAAACATCTAACATTTGGAACTCAAGTTTTACAAACAGTAGTCCACATTCCGGCAACTTTTCATCCGCTTGTAAAGATGGTCGTGATTTGAATTCTGTCAAATACGCTTTTATTACGATTGCTTTCATCATGTTTTCGGCAAATATACCTTATGTAACTGCCTTCATATTCAAAGCAGTCAAAAAGAAACAGTTTTTAATAAAAAGACGGAGTAAAACAGAAAGCACATCCGAAGAACAACAGATAATTCCTAAAAACAAATTCCAGCAAAACGTGCGGCTAAAAGTAATTTTGCTAACATTTTTCTTTTTTCTAGGACTTTTAAATTATTACACGGAAGGAATAACGTCATTTTTCCCGACAGCTTTCGCTCTGAAATACTTACAATGGTCGGTTGCCCAATCTGCATCGTTGCTGTCATTATTCTATGGAGCTCAAATTTCATGCAGAATATTGGGTGTCGTAGTTTCAGTGTTCCTGAGACCGAGGACTATGTTGGCCATTACCATGTCATTACTTGTCATTACTGGCCATTGATCAGTTTGAAGATATCGTTTGGAGATCTATATTTTTTGCTGGATTTGGTACGGCCATTATTTTTCCAACAAATATTTTATGGATATCAGAAAGTTTATCTATGACTGGCAAAGAGAGTGCCGTGTTGCTGAGTGGCTCTTCACTGGGCCTCATCACAGGACCATTGATTGTGGGACAACTAATATCTACGTACAGTCAGATGGTACTAATCTATTTTCTGATATGTTCATCTTTATTGCATTTAACTGTATTTATTTTCGAAGCATTTTTCATTAAAATATATCAAAATTAAGACACTAATAAACAATAATATCATGAAAAATATTTTTCTAATTATTTAAATTGACAATGTAGAAATCGAAGTACTAAAACAAAGACACATATACATTATAAAATCAGTCAGCTATAGGAGTTATTGGAGGTGTAATGCACAAAGAGCAATCTCCAGTATCTAAAATGTTAAGAAAGATATTATTTGTATTTAATTTTGAACCCACAGTGCTTTCAAGTGCAATTATATTCTGACTCTCACGTGCATTTGCAATTAAATCATTAAGGCATATAAAAGAAATATTTTCCGAAATGTTAAGTTGGACTCGATACAAGCGTAATACTGGTGTTTTCAAACCTTCCAATAGAATCATAGCATTTTTTGATTTAAGTTTTTTCAAAAATTTAATAGTTTCCTTTTTGTTGAATTTATAGGAATGTGACCATTTATAATACGAAGGAGGCTTATTAAATGTGCACGGCCAGAATTCAAATGAGCATTTTTTAACTTGGTTGTCCATACAATATTCATCCAATGAATTGAAATCTTTAGTATTGTAAAAATACTTTACAATGCAACTCTTGCAAATGTTAGATGTAACATCGAATTGTTCCAACATGTGTAACTCACTTTCTAGAACATTCAAACGTTTTGAATGTTTGCGAAATAAACAATTACTTGCAGATGCATTGTCCGAAGGAAATAAATTTAATTTTGAGAAAAAAACATTTTTGTCCCAGTCTTCACCAGCAGCTTCAGGACTAGATAAAACAGATGAAGTAAGTCTATCGATGCCACATCTAGATTCTATTTTATACCAAAATTTGTCATTGTTTGGTCTTTCTAATTTGACAACAGTAGTGGCAACATGATTAAACCGACTTGGATTAATTGTAATTGAACAAAGTTTTGTAAAACTTCTGGTTATTTTTCTGTTTAGAAAATTTGGAATTCTTGACTCTGATTTCCTGAGTTTGTACTTGTTCACATGGTAAACAAGATTAGGAATGCTATTAATATAACTTTTACAACTAATGTTGCATTTCGGACAAAAAATATCAGGCAAGAGAAGTGAAAATTCTTTTTTTACCTTTAATCCATTATCAACATCAAAACCAGATTTCTGAAAATAAATATAAATATGTATCTAATTACAAATAAAGAAATAAAGATCAAACTATATAAATAAACATAATTAATATCAGGTCAACAAAAAATAAGCTTTAATCAAATTCATGTGATTTATAGTTTAAAACTATAGTATACTAATCTTTGATTCATAGATTATAGTATAATGCGTAAATGCTCTGAAATATCATATCAATCTTCATTTGCATAACGTGTAAACATCATTTTAACATGGTCATTTAAATAAACATTATTTTCATCTAGTGCAATAGAGTCCATTACATGCATGTGTGGTTGTGACTGGAAAAAAATTTTGATTGTGGCTGAAAAATTTTAAATATCCTAACCAATCATTACAAATCTTTAACCCGAGGCGAATATCAGACTTAACCATTACTAACTACCATTTTATTTAACCCTATCTTAATTTATGTAGGTTTCTGGTTGACACTAAACGACAGGGTTGCAAATAAAATTTAATCACAAATTCGTCGCAATGCAATGTTAATTGAAGCCTTCAAGTTTTTAAACTGGGGAAACGAATCACAGTTATTTATTAACCATTGCTGGAAAATAAAATGAATTTTCATTATATTTAGTAATAATATTACTTTATTAACCATGTCCTTTCGTCTGCGACGATGGAACAACCGAAAAAGGCGGCAATGTTGTTACAAAGTTGATCAGTGGATATGATTAGAACTTCTTTGGAAATAGGTCAACATAAACCGAGATAAAATAACCGTTATAAAAATTTATTATTAAAATTTTTATAAAAATTTATAAAAATGCATTAATTATAATTTTTCTCATTTTAATGTAGTAAGTTAAACAAGCTTACGAAAAGTAATTTTTAAAATGTCTTCATTTTAATTAATTTAACTAAAAGTAAACGCTTCAAAAAATTTAACGAATTTTAATTGATGTTTGAACATTTATTTTGAAATAATAAAATATAAAAAAAAATATAGAAATAGTTTAACACAAGTTTTATAGCATATTTATATTCATGTTTTACAATTATTAATTAAAATTATGTTAATTTAACTATTCATACTCTTTTTTACAAAATAGCTTGTAAAAATAAAGTGTATATAACCGAGTCATCATACCAAGCCAGTTCATTCATCGTTCGTTCACTCTAGTGGCAGCCATCTTAGTTTTACGTTTACGTTAGCAAATTTTCTGATTAAGTTTACGTTCGAGATTGAAAAATGGCCAGTGATAAAGTTGACATGAGTTTGGATGAAATTATCAAGAAGTCAAAAGTCGGTCGTGGTAGAGGTAGAGGTAGAGGTGGTAGAGGAAATTTCAACAACAGGAGAAGCGGTTCTTTCCAACAAAAAAATGGCGGAGGTAACGCGGTTCAAGGTGTGACACGTCGAAATAATCTAATCAGAAGGGGCAATCAGGCTTCGAATCGAAGGGGTAGAACTTTCTTGGGGGGTGTTATTCGTGGCGGTGTGGTGAAAAGAAACAACAAAAGTTTCATTCCAGTTAGTTTTTCGTGTTTTAATTTGTAAAGTAAATTTACTATTTTACTTTGATATTCTTTTGTCGTTTTTCATTTTATTTTGATTAAAAATCAAATAAAAATTCATATTCTTACAATGTTGCATATAGAAACATTTAAATTTTTAATTCATCACAGAGAAACTTGGAAGGAGTATGGAAGCATGATCTATTTGAAGGAACAGTCGGTATTAGTGCAAATAATACTGCCATTGAAGGAAAATTATTAATTTCAAATCTTGACTTTGGTGTCAACGACTCTGATATGAAGGTTTGTTTCACTTTTTAAGAAAATTTAATAGTAAAATTTTATTTTTTAATTCTTAAATAATTTAGGTTATGTTTATCTTAAAAATTTTCAGAAGTTTGAATATTTTGTGTAAAAATGCAGATGGATTTTGGTAATTATGGTAACAATGAATTAAAATTTATTCAGATTTAATCATTGTATGATTTTTATATTTAATTACAAATTTTCATTTGCAGGAACTCTTCTCAGAGTTTGGAATATTGAAAAAAGCAGCCGTGCATTACGACTTTTCAGGTCGATCACAAGGCACTGCCGAAGTTATATTTGCATCAAAGCAGGCTGCTCTCCAGGCCATGAATCATTATAATGCTGTTCCTCTTGATGGTAACCAATTAAGTTGATGAATTATCTTTTCAACATCATCTATGACATGAGTCATCACCGACTAGCACTTCCTGCCAGTCACTGATGATCCATCAAATATTCCTATTATTATTTCTACAACAAACCGCGTGCTACAGAGATTTCGCATCACATTTGCTCATTCAAAAGGACCACTATTTCTGGGCTAGCTATCGCCTGAATCATTTTGTATAGTCAAATATTTGCTCAGTTAAGCCTAAAATGTGATTAGTCACAATATAATGATTATAACTCCAGTTGGAAATTTGGGAAATAATATTGTGCATAAAAATGAAGAATTTGGTAGATTTGCATAACGCAATAGTTAAAATGATTGTCGTCATACACACACTGCAAAGCCGAGTGTTGTTGAACCATTGTCTGAGGTGGCTCAACGAACATGGGAGGTGGTGTGCTCATGATTGGTACATTTCAGTGAATAGAGATGTGGTGGAGCTCAATGTCATCATCATCGCTGCTACCATCTATCTCCATCATTTCAGTGTTTAACGGCAGTATTTTTAATCAGTTGTTTAGCACAAGTCTCCACACTGTTTTGGAGTATCTTTATTTTTCTTTTTGAATTTCATTCTTCATATATTAGAATAATATAATCTAACACAAATTGTTAACTCTCCAAATGATAGGACGTCCAATGAAGATACAAATTGTCGAAAATTCTTCAATTAAAAATCGTCTGAGAAGGTAATATCAGTATTTCAATTTTAATTTCATCAAGTTTCTGTCTAATAAATTTCTATTAATTATTGTTATGAATAAATTAACATTTAAATATGTATGGATTGGTAGGGGATTCAGCAGCAGCAACAACAATGCCATTGGTGGTCGTGGAAGGGGAAGAGTGCAGAACAAATCATTCAACAACAACAGCATTGGCAACAACAACAGATCCTTCAACAGTAGTAACAACTCGTTTAACAGATCTAACATTAGGTATTTGCTTATTTGACATCTACTAGATTGTATAATGCTTTACTTTTCATATGAAGAATGCTTGATTTTGTCATCTGGTATCAATGTTGGTTGTAAAATGTTAATTTCTCACTCAATTTTCTATTTTATTTGTTGTTTTATAGGAGAGGCTTCAACAACAGACGAGGAGGTCGTGGTGGCAGGGGAAGGGGTGGCAGACTGAACCAACCTGTCCTGACCAAAGAGGAGTTGGACGCTCAACTGGATAGTTACAATAAGGTAAATTGGTATAAACTATCTATGTATGACCTAATATAATTTCATCTTATATTCATTGCTATTCATAAATATTTTAAAAGCTCTGAAGGTTATAAGAATGTTTTAAACTGTCTTTTGCAGATGGAGACCGAATAGGAAGAAACCCCTATAAAAATAGCTCTACAGTGAAGCAGCATTTGAAAGAATTAGAAGCAAATGTTGACTTTTTCTTACTGTCTGTAAATAACTGACAACCAACTTTTATTCATTTATGCCTGTATATTAATTTGGAGAATATTTTTTATGAATGGTTCTTATAATAATGTTTTTGTTACTGCTTTCCATATTTCATCATCAGTTGAAATGACTTATTTTATTTATCAATGGTATGATCTGAACTGGAAGATTATAACATTGTATAGTGTCGACGTATCAATGTTTTATGATTCGGGGTGTACATAATATTTGTTCTCGAGAAGTTAGAATAAAAAATTAACTAAACCAAACTGTTCTCAATATGACAATCTGCAACAAAAATCTCCTATCACCTGCATTTGCTGTCGTTATTCGAACGCTAAAAACGAACATTTCACGAAACGAGAATGGTTTGTTCAGTGATGCTAGGACGTAAATTGGGGAATGTTATTTTTGGAATTTAAACTTATGAAGTATTGTAGCAAAGAATTGTAAAATATTTTTTGAATTGCTTTCGAATAATTTCTTTGAAAAGATAATTTTACTTCGTAAGTGACGGATAAGTAGGCCGAGAAGGAGGTAAAGTGTTTCATAGAAAAAAGCTTGAAAAAGCAAATACAGATCTAGCAAAAGAGTGTTTAAAACGAGTTAAGAAGTGAAGACGACCGTAAACATATTAATATATCTGATGAGTACTTAAAAAATAATTTAGATTGAGACCTAAACATAAATATGGAAATTTTATAAATTACTCAATCTATAGGTAGACAATGCAAGAGAACAAGATATGGAGATATATGAGAAAAGAAAGGAACACGAGTAACTAGACGAGCAGTTAAAAGCTTTACTTAAAGGATAGAGTGTAGAATTAGGAAGACCATAATAGAGCATGTTACAATAATTAATCCTAGATAAGACTAAAAAAGTAACAAGAGCGAGATGAGTAGGGTCGTCAGGAAAAGGCAAGCGTTTTTTTTTTATTCTACAGAAATGAAAGTAAGAACTCTAGAAATCTGAGAATCTGAGAAGAAAGAGACATGCTAGAATTTAAAGATAAAGCCTAGACTACAAAACTTGTGAGGAACGTCAAGAGTTTTAGTATCAGGTTAGATAATAGAAGGAATGGTAATAGAGTGTTTAGATTTATTAAGACAAATTAATTCAAATTTAAATGAATTTAGTTGAAGACACATAGAGTCAGACGAAGCGATAATTGAGGAAAGACATAGAGATAGATTAAGAAGAACGTTATTGAGATTAGATGGAGGAAAAAAAGTATAAATTTAAGAATCATCAGCATATAGTTGACTAGTGTTCTGGTGTTTCCATAGATATATTATATATTATATATATTAAAAATCATTTCAAGCCAACCTTTGAAATAAATGCATTTTTGTAAGTTTTCTTGGATAGTGAATAGTTTCGCTAATTGCTGCAGGAGTCTTCCTGGTCATAAAATGAAAAATATTTTCATGAAAACTCGGCGATACTTTTCTTGAAATGACGTCTCATTTCTTCATAACACAAAAATATTTTAATAACTGATTTTTAAATAAATTTTAACTATAAATTCTTTTATTGTTTCTGGCATCTGGTTATAATATCGAGATGAATTTTTTCATATTCCTGGCGATAATTGGCGAATTTGTGAAAACGGACGGGTTGAAATCATGGTGCGATCAAATGGAGCAGTTGTGTTTTTTCACCTTCGGCATGAAGAAATACGTGTCCAACATAAACGAAGCCCACGAGTTATGCGTGAAAGAGGATGCAGCTAGCAAGGAGTTGGACATGTACAACAAATACATCCTCTACAGCGTCATCAGATACCTGGAAACGACGGAGTTCAACAAGAAAGTTAGCAGTCCGCCCTTCTATTTTATCGTCAAAAGTTGGCATGGTATGTTGTTTGTTTGCTACTCTCTTTAATAAAAATGGATTATTTTAATTTTTGGTTCAAATTTTCGATGCTTTTTTTATTTGAATTATCAAAAAATTAATTGTTATATCATTCATTTATTAATTGAAGAACCTGACCAGCAAACAGAAAATCACAATCAAAATGGCGATAAAAATCTAAAGTTATATAAATATCGTATCGTTTAAAAATAATAACGAAACCCAAATTTTTATTGTATTGTTGTTATTATTCATGTATTTTCAATACATTTGAGCAGACAATCGCCAACCATGTAGCAGACCTGCCGTGAATTACGATGTTTATGACACGACTTTCTTCTGCCCTGATAGCTCCATTACAAAGTTCAACGTTGTCTGCATGATGAGTATGTAGTTTTCCTAAAAAAATTATCAGTATACATATCATCACATCAAATTTTCATTTCACCGAATCAAATTTTCATTTCACTAAATAAAATTGAACAAGCCGTAAAAAAATTAGAAGACCCACCATTAAACTTAATTTAATATAATTAATTTTTAAAATACAATGAATGAATGAATGAATGAATGAATGAATGAATGAATGAATGAATGAATGAATGAACGAATGAACGAACGAACGAACGAACGAACGAACGAATGAACGAACGAACGAACGAATGAACGAGCAAACGAATGAAAGAATGAACAAACGAATAAATTAATGAACGATCAAACAAACAAACGAATGGTATTTTTTTCAAGATGTGTCTGAAACTATTGGAGAAGATGACTCGGTGTCAAAAGTTGCTGATGAGAGTTTAGTCTCTGAGACGGAATCTAGTTGTCAGTATCTAATCTAGATTAATTTCATTAATTCGACTTTCACAAGTATTTTTAAAATAACTGCCAAGTTAAATTAAATAATTTCGACGTTATTACAGTTTACATGTGAGTGTTGTAAGGTTGCAAAGAGTTGCGCAACGAATAAAATCAATAAAGGTGTTGAGTTCCCGCGTTTCACGCGTATTTACAAACGCCTCGTGCGTCTGTGTGCGTCCGTTGTGTATCATGTTAATACTTTTGAGAAATATTTAAGAGAGAACTGTGATAAAATTTTCCTCTTGTTATTAGGGATGCACCTTTCTGGCGTTATGATTGGGCTATCGATCGTCGGAGTAGTCATCTTGCTTGGAATCGTATTAGGAATCGTTGTTAAGTAAGTTCCGAACAAATTTTTTTTAGTTTCTTGCAATATTGTTATGTTATTATTATCATCATTATTTGTAGTAGTAAAAAAACAGTTATAGTAGCAGTAGCTGTAGTTGTAGAAGTCATATTAGTAAAGAGTCAAATGATAAAAAACAACCTACTAATCATAATTATAACAATTATAATTAAAAGTGTAATAAAACTTATATTATAATTAGGCATAGATCCTTGGAACGTCAGAGTAAAATGGCCCCGGCAACACCTAACGAGGGCCCCTTCGATAAAGAGGCCCCGTCACCCTTTGTGGCAACAAACAGCGAATCTAAAACTGCTTGAAGATGTTTTGCTAACGTTAAATATTCAATGGATAATTATTCTAGCATTGGTGACTAATTATTTGATAAATGATTTAATTTGTGACAAATTTCTTTGAATCGTATTTTAGCATTTGGATTTGTACTAACATTTATAATAATAATGCTGATATAATAACTTGAATTTTAAAGCAATTAGTATTGAAATTAAATAGTTTTAAATATTTTTTATGGCATAAGCATTAAAAAAACAAGCAAATATTTGTGTAAAATAAGTTAAAGATGAAACGTCTTTTTAGGTTGTTATCGGCAACTATATTGTGAAGAACTTTATTTCGCGGGTTTTTAGTTTTTGTCGGGTGACGTGATGTGATTTTAGCCTGGAGTTGAGTGCGTAGCAAGGAATTGGGAGCAAGCCTGGGTAGCTTCCCGGGGTACCATTTTAAGGGGTACTTTCAAGTACTCTAATCACTGCCACAAAAACTTGAATAAGAATTCGTAAGCAACGATACAAAATAGATAACCAATAGATTGCAATCGTCAATCAAATCTTCAAGCAAAGTACTTAGTTTATAGGGGCGTATGTGTAGGTATGAATGCAGAGTTGACATGCAAATTTCAAACTTTAACAAAGAAAAAACAGGAACACAAATAAAAAATATATTAATATAAAATGAATAATAATAGCATCAACAATTATAAATAATAGTAATAATACTAACAAATAATAATAAAATAGAATTACTGAATTACTATTACTCAAGGCATACATAGTTTGAAATCGCGTGAGAAATTAAGAAAGACTAGGAATACGCATAAACATTCATTGCAATGTTAGGCTTTTGAGCGTGATTTGAAGGAAAGGAAAAGAAAATTGTTTGTTTGTTTCTTTGTATGTATTTTTGTATGTTTTTATGATTGTACGATCATTTATATGTATATTTGTATTATCTTGATTCGTTTGTTTGTATGATTATAATGATTGCATCAAATATTTGTATGTATTGAACAATTCCCAGAAAATTTTAGTAAAGAAAATTGAAAAGACAAACTTGAAATTGATTAACACCAACAATTCGGTAGAATTCACACAATACTGTATAATATATGGTCTCCTTCCATTAAATATATATATAATATATATATATATATATATATATATATATATATATATATATATATACAGATACATATGTATGTACGTATTGAACAATAAAATGTATACAATGCACGTTCGTGTAGAGATGTTATTGATTATACATTTCGAGATAAAAATTGTTGAAGTTGCATTGTCTGTAAGCCGTTGATAATTTTTGATAGTTCCATTTTTAATTTGTCATTGTTATCTGTTATTTTTGTTTGTCTATCATTCGATAATATGTATAAATAATTAATTTATGAATAAAATAGTTGTTATTATTATAACTATCACCTAATCAAATTTTTTAATAATTTTGAAAATTTGCTTTTAAAAAAATTTTGTGTGTTAATTTTGGAAAATATTTTGTCACAGTTGTGTAAGTTTTTCATTTTAACCTGAAAAATAATTTTACTTAAAATTTTCTTATAAATTGTCAATAATGAAGTTAATAATAATAATAATAGATTTTATTATACTTTCTGTGTTGTGTTTTATTCGCAATGCCTTGTTGTTTCTTTATATCATCTTCTTGTTAATTTTTTTGGCAATGTTAAATGGAAAAACGTAATATATATAGATAGAAATAAAAATAAATAAATATAAAATAATAATAATTGTACACACACACACACACCACCACACCACACACACACACCATAGACACACACACACCATAGACACACACACACACACACACTATACACACACACGCAAAAACTCGAACATAATAATATATAATATTCGATTACGCCTACATTTTTCTTGCATATCGTGCTCCCTTTTTTTTGGAACTCTATAACTAGGCCAGGGTCAATATTACAGTTGACCAAGGTGGGTTACCATCACTGGTCAGTTGACCAAAGTAATGAGATCACATCTCGTCTGCAATTTGATCACCAGTAAAACAAAGAAATGAAATATGAGAAATTAGAAAAATTATTGAATCAGTTCGTATAACAGATAAAAAGTTCATGCGACGAATTTCAAAATAAAACGAACACGGTTAATTCTTCACATTTTAGCAAAAATTCTTTTATTAATTACTAATTACTGGTTAATTAATTAATTTATCCAATTAATTAACCCATGAATTATTTAATTTTCACCAATCAACTAATTATATATTTATTCATTTTTGTTTATTGATACAGTGTTTTTAGATGTTAGGGACTCGTATGCATATAGGGCTTGTTATTTTCTCCATCACATACATTGGTCCATTTCATAATTCAATCACCAGGGATTCGACAAAATCGATAAGAGGATGTCATTCTCTCTCTTTATCATCATTTGTTGTTGTTGTTGTTGTTGCTGCTGTTGTTGTTTACTTTTACGTCATCATTGTACAATTTTCTGGTTTGCTTTGTCTATTTTTTGTTTGTTTCTCGTTTTTGTTTTTACTTTTTAGGTCCTATTTTGAATTCAGATTGGGCAGTTGGTGTATTTATGCTAGTGCATTTGTAAACATAAGTGAAATAGGAAAAAGAAACACAGTCACACACACAAACACTAACACGCACACACACATACACATAAACATGTGTAGAGAAGTTATAAATACGAAAACGTAGCGTGTTGTACTAAAGAATGACGCAAGATGTGTTTAAGATTTTTTTGACTCTTAGTCATTCATCTTAACTTTTATCTCAACTTTTATCTCAATTCGTGATTTGCGTGGCTGATTTTCCTCATCGTCGTCATCTTCGTCGCGACAAGAGTTCATTAACAAACATCGTCATCATTACCAAAATCATCATCATCAACATTTTTCTCATCATCATCAGCATCATTTTTTATCTCACCATTATTATTACTCCTCTAGTTTTTTGTATAAAAGTGGTTAAAAATCTGAGAGCCATTGAAATTCGGCACTGAATTTCCATTACCATCGTTCTTAAAATTCTCTCAATTTTTTCATTTGTCGTGCAACTTACATCAAAAAATAACAAATCAAAATTCCCAAACGCACATAAATACATACAATTAAATATACACACACACACACAAACACAACCAAACATACACACAAAATACATACAACCATTCGTTCATATCCATACATCCGCAAGCATAAAGCCACGAAAATGTACGTGCATACAAATACCAATACAAACACATACACACATACAAACTAACATATGCAAAACATATTTACACACATAACACACACACATACAAACGAACAACGAAATAGCATATAATAAAATATTAACAAATAAAAAACAATGAAACATAGGAGGAATAAGTGTTGCACATAAGAATGCAGAGCGCTTCCACAAACGTTTCAAGCGATAGTAGTCATCAGGGAGCGTTAAAATGCGAACTGCAGATCTTACAGATGTGTACTGACTGCTTCTTACTATGCTGCTAGAATGAATCCAAAGCATACATGCATTCAAAAATTCAATTACCAATCTATTGATCAATCATAAATCTATCTATTCTTCTTCTTCTTCTTCTTCTAGTGCCTTATCCTTTCAGAACATTGGCGACCATCGGCCTCCACAAAACACGATCTTTAACACTTTGTAGCAGTTGAAATGTGGTGATATTCAACATGTGACACAAGGACTTCACGAATGTTTTTCGTTGTTGACTGCGACCTCTTCTCCCTGCAATCTCTCCTGTGGTTGTTAAATTTTCCATCTCTTCCTTCTGAATGATGTGACCAAAAAACTTTAACTTTAATTCATCTTTGTTTAATTTGATAAAATTAAAAAATTATCTAAATTCATCAATCTAATG